ACCCTGCCCTTTTATTTTGTGTTGCTGGTTTGACGTGAGCGCGCTCCACACTTTCCGAACCCGAACCTGCGTTTAGTCCCGCCCCCTGCTTTATCCACAGTTTATACAAACGTCCAATCTCAATACTCGCACTTGCACCCTTGCGCCTTTCATTTGCGCGTTCCTGGGCAGGGGTGCGAGTGCGTAGGGTGTCTCGATTCTCAAGTGTGGAAATTGACCACGCCCCCATTGCACCCTTAATCTGCACTTCACCCAAGTCCGCAGCGATGCGGACCTCGGGCAAGGGAAGTACCCACAAATCATTGCTGCGCGAGAAAAGGTTCAAGTTCCTTTTCTGAAAATATGTATTTTCTAATGAAATTAGTTCATTTTAGGACGATTATTTGATGCTCTGAAAGTTTTAGACAAAGCAGCAATGAAGTAAAATTTCTTTCAAATAATTGCTTTGTTGTTTGTTTGAAAGTTGTTAATAAAGGTTTTTGAAAAAAGTTTCACAGCGACCAGCATCCCGGCATGCGTTGCGATCGATGATGCAACGCTCCTTGTCTCAATTCAGCATTTATTTGCACGCTTGTGTACTTCGCACTTAAACCCTACTGTGCACTTTCTCCAAGTGCACTTTGCTGAAGACCGCAGGGCGCAGTGCGAGTATTGAGATTGGGCCAAATATTAAACTCAAAACGGGAGACTGTTAATAAGGCGGGACACAAACTTTTTTCCTCTACTTCGGACTGTCTCTCAAAATAAAGTGAAATTTAAATGTTTCATGATATTTGAATACATTTCAAACTACGATTATGGTTAGCATAAGTGCTTAAATATAGGCTATATATTTTACACTTTACATTATTTAAAAATAGTGCAAAGGGATACGATTTGTTATGGTTGGACTTTTATGTTGAAGGGGATGTTCTTGGCCGGTTGTGTGGAGAGTTCCGGTTCGATTGTTTAGAAAGAGAAAACAAGCTAGTTTGAACGGAGATCGTTAACGTTGTTTTTCCTGGAGTTAAGGCGCGGGTTGTGGCCAAAGGTAACCCGGAATAAAGATCCGAAACAGAAAGTACAAGTTGGAGTCGTTACAATATTTTTAAAAAAAAATCAACAAAAATGTATTCTATAGATGCGGCAGCTTTTATTTTGCCATCGCGGTGCAACATGATCAATTAGTGTAGACTTTTATTTTGACAAACGTAGCACAGAAAATAACATTTTGATGCCCATTCTGATTGGTTAGTGAAAAGCTACAGTAAACCCCTTAAGGCGTTTCTGTAGCCCAAGCACAAATGCACCGCAGCTAGCTGGACCCTGCTCAGTTTTAAATGCCATTTCATGCTAATTGTAAAGCACATTGAATTGCCCCTGCGTTTGAAATGTGCTTTATAAATGAAGCTGCCTTGCCTTGCTGCCTATCTGTTGGCCAAATGGCATTGCCGTAGTATGATGATGTCATTGGCAGGCGCAGGACCCCGAGCAGGTCTGAAAATTACAGCACCAGAAAACTACAATCGGCATTGTATTCTCTCGATGGAAATAACTGAAGGACCATCAAAGTCTGAGAAATCACGTAGAGGTCGCATACCAAAATGTTTTTTTTTAACTAGCGACAGTCACGGCGATATGGGGTAAAACTCCCTTGCAATGTATGTACTGCCCTCTAGTGCCAGGAAACTACACTGCCACTTTAAAGGAATGGGAGTATCACAAGAAAAAGAACAATAATACCAACGTATAAATTGTACAAGACATGTAAATTTTGTTGGAACAAGAAGTGTTTGGGGAAATAGTTGGAAGTTCAAATAGTCTAAGCCAGGGGTGTCAAACATGCGGCCCGCGGGCCGAATCCGGCCCGCAAGCGGGTTAAATCTGGCCCGCGAGATGGTTGTGTAAACTTTATTTACATACTTTACAATGTAGAGTGAAAATAAACTTATCATTGTGAGCAAGTTTTCTCTAACAAGTATAAAGAAAACAAAGCTGTGCTCAAGGCTCACACAAGAACTTGAATCACATCCTGAAGTTGGCTGCGACTCAGGATGTGACTTCTGATATTGATGTGCCGGTGAAAGCTAAAAGATGTACAGTAAAATGAGTCAAATATACTTTAAGTGCTGCATGAAACTGATCTTGCCATGTGATCTGTAAGCTCTTTGAATCACTAAGGAATGTTTTTTTTTATTTGTTGATTTATTTTTTATTTTTTTTCAAGTACACTTCAGGTGTTGTACTTGTACTACACTGTCCTCAGGCTCCAGCCTTGTTTTATATTGATTGTATTAAAACAACGAAAACAATCTGAAGTTTTTTTTTTTATTTACCGGTCCGGCCCACTTGGGACTAGATTTCCCTCAATGTGGCCCCTGAGCTAAAATGAGTTTGACACCCCTGGTCTAAGCCAAGTCGAATCCCCATTTTGCATCTCTTGTATTGCAGTTTGGAGAGTGTTGTAGCTTTCCAAGTGAAAATCACACAACTTCATTGGTAGTTTAGAGTCAGTGTCTTTATTTTTATCTGTCGAGCCCCTGAGGCTGGTGGATATTCATCATCATAGTCAGAATGAAAAGCCTCCGTACTTTTATTCTTTATCTACTGAGAAAATGACACGATAGATAAGGCACTTGGGTTCTCCCTCAGCATGCGAGTGAATGTGTGTGCACGTGGGTGAATCATTGATTTTGTTGAAAAGCACCTTTGGGGGTTCCTGGACTCTAGAAGGCTCTATATCAAATACAGTCCATTTACCATTTATTTGCATACTAATCAGTCCAGTCATCTTTAAATTTCTATTTTTGCTGTCAACCTTACATCTCCTCCCTTTTGGATGCAACTTATTTCCCAAGAACTACTGACAAAGAGGTCCACGCCTTCAAATGTCGCAAAATACCAACTCTCGCACTTACAATGAAGTTGCGACTATGTCCTATATCAATTAACTCCTTCAATGCCATTGACGACAAAAGTCGTCATTTTAAATCCAACCGTTCACTTTATTTTAGGGATGTGAATCTTAGAGCAACTCACGATTTGATTTGATTCGATTCCGATTCTTGGGGTGCTGATTCGATTCAGAATCGATTCTCAATTTAAATCGATTCACAATCAGTATTAAGAGTGTCAGCTCCAGGATTAGCTATTTTGTTGTACAAGTTAGTTAAAGCTATGGGACATTTATATTTGATTTTAAACTGGTCGTGCTCCAAAAATGCTAATTTACAATGTAAAATAAAGTGATTCTAAAACTGTAAACAGAAGCAATCTTTTGACCAAAAGGCAACATTTATTTTTGCTTACCTTGTAAAATATAACTAATCTGTAGTTACCTAACAGTAGCTTTGAAAGTAATACGGTCAAATACTTTTCAAGTATGTGTAGAAACAAGTTACATGAGTAATCCTGAGTACTCGTTTATCAACTTAGAATATAAATATGAGAATATCTCAAATTTCTGAGTATGAAAAAAATTACATTCAAGTGCCCTCTTATCAGCAGATTCAAACATAAATCATCTCAATTTATGGGACCACAAAAGTAAACGGAGTACGGACTCTCCTAACAAAGATCAAAAAAGTGCATCTCAGACCTGTAACGTGCCAAATATTTGAGTTCTTGGAATCGATTCTGAATCTTTATAAATAAGAATCCCGAATCAGACTTTAATCGATTTTTTTCAGCACCTCTACTTTTTTTTACTGTGTGGGCATCGGAACGAGCCCCCGCACCGTGAGAACATACATCCCAGCTCTGAAGCCGATCTTCATCCGCCTACGTCACACGTCACGTGACCAGGAAGCAGAACATCCATGTGTTAGGAGAACGTTTTGGGCCACTGCTGTAAAAAAAAATTGAGGCGCGAACCGGAAAAGCTTCTGCCGATCACAATTCGACAACGGATTATGAAAGAACAGATAATGCTCGAAACGCGCGGATTCTTCCTCTTTGTTTTCTTAGTTTTGGCATTGACATCATCATAGAGCGCAACTTTCTGTGACTCTTAAAAAAATAATAAAAATGCTAGAAAAGGGCAGCGAAGGGCTTTTCTGATCGGGAAACGGCTGGCCGTGAATGAGTTAAGTCGCGAATTGGGTCGCAAGAAATTGTTTAACTTACAAATAAGTTAAACAAATAATTTCGTAAGAGGTATGTGGGAAATGGGCCGGTCCAAAATGACTGATGGGCCAGTTGTGGCCCTTGGACCACCTGTTGAATAGCGCTGGTCCAAACTATAACAAATATTGTGGTTTTAAAAATAGACAAAAACAGTAAAACGTGAACTTTTATAGTAATAAAACAACAAAATATATCAAATTGTTGATTTAGACCCACAGTGTCAAACTTTCTGTGATTAGTTTAAACTTTGACCATGTTTATTCTTCGTTTAGACAAAATCCCATTTAGTGTCAGCTCGTTACCAAGGTCACCATACACACTATTACTAACTGAGCCACGCATGTTGATGTATGCCATATACATGGACGTAATTTTGGGGGGTGACAGGGGGGACATGTCCCCCCCACTTTTCCAAAGTCAAGTTTTGACCCCTGCACTTTTTACCATCCAAAAACAATATTACGCTACATTAAATTGACTCTGGTTGAGCTCTAGGACCAAGCGGAAAACAACTGTTTGTGTTGAAGCCTGTTTCCCATTAGAACATACTGTAAAGATCCACCCCCCCCCAACCCCCCCACTTCTAAAGTGAAAATTACGTTCATGGTCATTTACGGGTTTTTCTAAAGCTGTAGGAGAAGCAATGAATCAAAACTGTGACAGAAACACAACAATTTAATTAGAAAATCTAATATTTTTCACAATCACCCCCGACTGATGCGAATATCAGACTCCAGAGTGCTGAAAGTGAGATTTTACATGTGTATGACTGAAGCTTTTATCAAAGAGACCTTTGTTGATATGCTACATATGGTTTTGCTCTGACATTACTGTCTTATAGCACATCTAATATTTCAAAAGTCAAAACGCAATAACTTTTCTGTCCGCCTTCATAGGGTGAGCGAGGCATGGAGGGGCCGCGGGGGCCCAGAGGACAGCCGGGCGCTGGAATTAAAGGAGACAAGGTAGAGTACAGAGAGGCTATAAAAGAGGCGCCTCGCTCAAAAGACTCGACAAAGATGGAGAAAGCTAGAGAGCTAGAGTCTCATTGTGCAGGAGGCCAAAAGTTGCCAGAGCCACCGATAAATGCACTGAGCGTGGTGTTATATAGGAGGTCACAGTCTAGAGGTGATGAATCAGGGTTAAAGCTTGAATAGTGTAGGAGGGCTGCAGTTTTACGGCTCCGTGTGATGAATGTGGGAACGAGAGTGCTGCGCTGACACAGTGAGCCACACATGTAAAGGTAAGGTTTTCATTTACCACAGTGTGTTTGCAGATCTCTGCAGCCATCTGCAAATGCTTCAAACCACAGATGTAGACACCAGGAGCAACTTTATAGTTACTTTTCTGTCACTGAAGAGTTCAAACAGTTTCATAAAACTGGCTAAATGTGAACATGTGTTTTTATGAATTGTGCCGGCTTGTGGCAGCTGGGTGCTTTCCATAAGTGATAAATCACAAGCTGTTCCAGCTGACATTAGAGCGATGCACTGTGTAACTATGAACACGCATGTACTGTTATCGTTGTTTTATGGGAATCCACAGGGGGAGTTCGGCCCTCCGGGTTTTCCAGGGCCGTTTGGCCTCCCAGGAGTTGGAGTGCAAGGAGAAAAGGCAAGTGAATGTTTCATATTCAGATAATGGTCTATCTGTTATGTAGAATATCTTGTTTCCAGACTTTTTTTTTTCTTGAAGAAAACTTAAAAGACAGCTTGGATTGGGGGATAAACCACCAAATAGTTCCCAAGTGCAGCCGTGTCTGCAGCTACCCGCTCCCCATGGGGAGGGGTCAAATTCAGAGGACAATTTTCACCACACACCAGAGGACTAATGCAGGAGATAGGTTTAGGAGACTATTTTCATGTTCAGTCTGCATGATAAACTCAGGCCCTGTCCACACGTAGCCGGGGATCTGCCAAAACGTAGATATTTTACTACGTTTTGGCCTGTCATCCACACGAAAACGAAGTTTTTTCACACGAAAACGGATCTTTTTAAAAACTCCGGCCAAAGTGAAGATCTGCGTTTTCTCCGTTTTGGGTGTCTGCGTGTGGACGGACAAAACCGGAGTTTTAAGGTCCGCAGCGTCACTTTCCGCGACAAAAAAATGCTGACATCACGTGTGCGACCTGTGTTTACCCGATCCATCAATTGTCCAAGCGCTTTTTGCTTGTTTGTTTTTGTAAGCGGAATTACTGCTCCTTGCGGAAGACCACAGACGAAGGACGAGGTTAAGAACGGGGGAAGTACTGCCGCCTACAGGTCTGGCATGTCCTTAACAACGTATTTATCCGGGTACGTGTGGACAGTTTTTTTTTAAACGCGGTGGTGTGGGTGCAAGTTTTTGGAGGGGCGGATATTTGTTTTTAAAAATACCCAGCTACGTGTGGACTAGGCCTCAGAGTGACCCATGATTGTCAGAAATAATCATTAAAAAGTGTTTTTTCAGTGCTCCTCAACTTTTAGGACATGTTAGCATGCGGAGATGGTGACCACATTTAGTGCAATGCTATGTTCTATTTGCACTCAGAAATAGGAATTAATGAGTTCAGATTCATTAGAAGAAAATGGAAAAACCACTATTTTAGACCAACTCCCATCCTGGAATACAACATGACTTCCATGAGCATGAATGATGGAGTTGCAATAAACAAATACTAATACTATCTCAGTAATTCAGCCACGCACAGCTACCACCCAACCACTACATATGAGCATTTTGCTACATAAATTGTATGAGTAGAAATAAATAAAAATTAGCTTACGTTGCTAATTTGGTTGCTGGGGCAAGTTTTGACTAATGCTTCAATCCACCGCCACTCAGAAAGTGAAATTCCCAGTGTCTACAGTATGTTGGGAAAATGAACTGGAATGCCCATCCAAGTTGAAAATTAGACAATTTATTACCTGCCCCATCCTTAAAATCCAATATGGCTGCCTCTTCTATCGAAGTGGTGGTTAGCTCTTAGCCGTTTATCAAGAAACAGCAGATTTACATTTCTGGCAGTTTTTTTTTTTCATTCAATCTGTGTTGTGTAATTAGTGAACATATTCGTGCAATCAGTGGTAATATCTAGTTTAGCTAACAATGGATTTCCATATCTCTGCACAAGCTGAGCTAAGTGGATCGCTCACGACATTCGTGTGCTGTCCGCTCCTTCTCTGTTCACGTCAGGCGAGACTTTTCAACGAGCACTTCTGCTCAAGCCTACTGTTTTCCAAACTTTCCCACCCCCGTTCCCTTGCTGTGTGTGTGTGTGTGTGTGTGTGTTCATTTTCATCTCTCTCGTCTGTTTAGATACACAAACATGATCACATTTATCAATCACGGTGTTTTATCTTTGAAATTTTTCTTTTGTTAAATTTACCAGTCTGCCTCTTCTGCTTTGGCTTGAATTCCTGCAAGAATTGACGCAGCTCACTCACGGCTCACGGAAAAATAGAGCTCACGCCCAAACGATGGCTGCACGGCACGAGCCTTCGTGGCGCTTCGCAGCTGATGTGACCGAGAGCGTAGGTTAACAAGGATGCTGATTAGAAGCGCTCGTCGTTCCACGGCGCTTCCGCGCCTGCTGTGTTCCGGGTGTGAAACGACAATAAAGCTAAATGTTCATACACTAAATGAAAACAATCCCACCACAGCATGATCTACCTTTTTACCGCCATTTTACTGACAGTCTTCCAGCTGGGACAAGATAGACAGCTCAGCTACAATTCCAGACTTTGCAACATGAATTTTTACTGTTTAAATGGTTCTAGTTGACAGCGTTGAAGGGCCTGAAACACCCTGATATAAATCCCAAAACAGAGCTCTAAATGACTGGGTTTCCTCCCGTAGATGCTTCCGTTAGAGCAGGAGGACGTCTGTTACTGAACTTTTGGACTTTTTGGTTTGGTAGAAAACTTAAAATGTTCAAATGTCTCATGAGTCGCGCATTTTCATAAACTTTAATAAATAAAAAAAACACAATCCTGACAATCCTGCATCCGGTCCTGTTAGGAATCTTTGGCATTCCAGTTTCAGTAACTGCTTTTGTTTTCTATCAGGGTGTGGAAGGTCCAAGAGGACCACCGGGAAGCAGAGGCCCACCCGGAGAGGGCTTCCCAGGATCAAAGGTTTGTTCTTGCACACGAATGAATGGAATTATTTTGCTGATATTTCCAACATTCCAATGATCCACTGAAACTGTTTTAGCCAAAGTTGACTATTTTAGATACTTGAGGTATCAAAAGTCCAGGTCAGATGTATTTGTGTGACACACATGCAGAAAAGAAATATATTTGATTAAAAAAGCAGCAGTTTGGGTACAGGATCAGATGGAACAAGGATCCTCTGGGCGTTTCTTTCTGTTAAAACGGGGTTTTTCCTCTCCACTGTCGCTACATGCTTGCTTAGTATGAGGATTGCCGTAAAGACTCTGACACTAGTCAGTGACTCGATGCAACCTGCTGGGTTCCTTATATAGGAATCGTTTTACTGATTGGCTTAATGAAGTGAGATGTATTGGAATGTTTACTTTATGAAGTACCTTGACCTTGATTTGGCGCTACATAAATAAACTGTATTGAATTGTCTCTCACAGGGGGACCAGGGACTACCAGGTGAAGTCGGTGCCCCAGGAGAAAGAGGTGCTGGAGAGCCAGGAGCAAAGGTGTATAAAAACCCGCCGTGTCAGCGAAGTGAAAACTGACTGTTTTCCATCCATGAGTTGACCCAGATGTCCATTTTTCCCAGGGTGAGCCAGGAGCTTTGGGAATGTCGGGTTTACCAGGTCTTCCAGGGGAGGACGGAGCTCCAGGACAGAAGGTTTAGGAGTTGGGAGAGTTTTTCACAACAAAATACTTCTTTATTTAAATATATCAGTTATTAAGGTCTATGTGTGTGTATTTAGGGTGAACCAGGAGCTGTTGGTCTTCGGGGTCTAGAGGGAGCGCCCGGGATTGGGACTCAAGGTGAAAAGGTATAGAAGGAACATTAGCTCTTCAATTATTTACTTGATTTGAATGATGCGTTGTAGTGGGTTAAAATGTCACATATGTCAGAGTAGTAACCATATTTTCAATATGGCTGCTCAGGGTGACCAAGGTCAAAGGGGAATCCGAGGCCTGACAGGTCCACCGGGGATTGCTGGACCCTCAGGACCAAAGGTAAGGAGCCAGTAGGTCCTTAACAATAAAAAGTAAAGATATTCCTTTTCTTGATATCTATATAAAGAATAGCAAAAAGAAAAGGTTCAAGTATTTTTGTTTTCATCCACCTGGCTTTTGTTTATTTCTAATTAGGGAGAACCTGGAGCACAAGGACGGCAGGGTTCTCCGGGTCCAGCAGGACGCTTCATCACTGGACCCAAGGTAGTGATGGCGCTCAGTTCTATGGCAGAAATTATCCTTACAAGTTTATATTCTTTACATATTTAAAACCTATTATTTAGAAGTGATAATTACCTTCCTACAGTTACCTCATGCCGCAGCAATTATCACTTATTTCACAGCGATGTCGTAACATTTAAATTCATTCTAATTTCACTGAATCTACTCTAATGTTCACCAAAGGGAAGTTATCTTCAATTGCATATTCTTGAGGGAAAACAAGTCCTGTGGGGGGGTTGTGTTGTAGAAGAATGACCTGTTGTGTGGGTTTTCAGAGCATTCAATCCAAAGAAGACCTGAGATGTGAAAGCTAAGGGTTTTTGATTCTGAAGCCATGTTTTGGTATCCAAGAAATCTAGACAAACCATTACAGTTGCAAAAGATTTAGCTCTGCCGATTGGTCTAGCCACGCTCTGTTGTAGCAGCTCTACCATTGGATCCAACTATTTGAGGTATGTCCAATCACAGTGCTCCATGTTTGACCGACACTGGGCGAGCTTTGCACCAGAGCAACACGTCGGCTAAAGAGCAGCGCCCATTTGAAGCAGCTTTAGCGTCACCTTTGGACAATTTAGTGTTTGGATTTTCTTTTAATGAGCTAATTGAGGTAATTAAGTCATTTATTAGAAAAATGATGTATTTGCTTCTTTTCTTCTTTATTCTGCTGCTTTTTTAATCAACGGTGGCACAGGAGTTAAGTGCTCACCCCGTAATAGGAAGGTTGCAGGTTCGAGCCCCGCTCAGTCTGTCGCTGTCATTGTGTAATTGGGCAAGACACTTAACCCACGTTGCCTGCTGGTGGTGGTCGGAGGGACCGGTGGCGCCAGTGCTCGGCAGCCTCGCCTCTGTCAGTGCGCCCCAGGGCAGCTGTGGCTACATTGTAGCTCATCCCCACCAGTGTGTGAATGTGTGTGTGAATGGGCGAATGACTGATTGTGTTGTAAAGCGCCTTGGGGGGTTTCAAGAACTCTAGAAGGCGCTATATCAAATACAGGCCATTTTACTACCCGCTAGCCACTGAAGCTGCAACCAATTAGCAACTAACAAACCATAGATAACTTCTTTGGATCTAAAAAAAACATTTTAAATTAGCTGACTTACTTTTAAATTTGAAAATTGCCCCCGAAGTAGCTGCCGGCTTCTGATTTGCCATCCTTTTGAAAATACTGCGGCGTATTCTGGGTAATTTTTGATCAAGGCACAAGACACCTCCCGTGTATCCTCGTTCAGCTAGCTAAACGGCTAACAAACGGACAACACACGCCTCGGTAGAACATGAACACTGGAACACGTCTTGGCGGCTCCCGATGACGTATCTCCTAGGCAACCGGGGCGGGGCCAAGACATTAAGGCAAGGTTACTTGGCACTGAGAAATACTCTATATGTCTACATTAATAAGTTGGCTTGCGAAGCTGTTTTTGTGAAAAAACAGAATTAGATTTTTGCCAAAGTTTGTCCTTTTTTTTTTTTTTTACTTTGCTTACAAAAATCTAAATAACAAAGGACACGTCTAATCATGGAAAAAATAACACAACAATAAGTCAGACTTTTTTTTTATTCAAATAGTAGATTTGCTACCTTAAACCGACCACTTTTATTTCACCACTCCTATTAAACAAGGGTAGAGTTGCGTTTGGACAGGCTGTGACAGCCTAGAAATCATGATAGTAGCAGGAGCAAAAGGACTTTACAACGTAGCAAAACATCCAAGATGGCAGTGGCTCGTTGAAATGGCTTTGGACGATTTAGACTTGGGCTTGCCATTGAGTCAAGAGCAGATAAAAAAAAGGATGTGTTTGCATCTGTGTTATGGTGAACTGCCCTATTGACGTGCATCCGTAGTGGTGAGTACGTTGTGTTGTTCGTTGTCCAATAGCATTTGGAATCAGTTTGATAAACAATTATAGATTCCGCCCAACAAATCAATCAAATCAAAGCTTTATTTATGTCGGGAAGCCCAAGGCGCTGAACACAGTACATGAGAAATGTGAGACACGATGAATACATTGATAATAAAAGCTATTCAAATAGTGCAAAACAAGGTAAAACATTAAAGTAGAAAACAAATGGGTAAAACAAGGGATAAAGAGACCAGTGAAAGCAGGGAAATAAAATCATCTTAAAAGAGGGCCAAACTCAAACACGTTCAGGGAATGCCAAGCGGAGGAGGTGGGTTTTTAGGCGACTCTTAAAGACTGGCAGAGATGGGGACCTACGACTGAGATCTGTCTATAGGTCGTGTCTAGACTATATACTCACATATATAGCTTGCCAGGCTTAGTGGTGTGAAGCAATGAGCATCCAACACTAAGAGCCAGCAGCATTGAAGTTATTCCCTAAACAAGAAAAGCTCTGGGCTCACTCTGAAAAATTCTGGATTTGATCAAATTTGCACAAAATCTAGTTGGAGGCAAATGTTTGACATCTCAGGTGTATATTTATTTTCTAGGGTGATGTTGGCCCAAGCGGTCCACCTGGACCAATCGGAGAGACTGGTTATGGAATTCCTGGTCCAAAGGTAAAAGAAAGTTCTTTTTGCACTCAAAGCAACATGAACGGAAACAGTTATGTTATTATTGTCTCCATGACGACGTGTGAGACCCATTCTTTTTTTTCCTGCTTACATAAACAGACCTGAATTCAAGTTTTCAATTCAAGTTTATTTATATAGCGCCAAATCACGACAAGAGTCGTCTCAAGGCACTTCACATAAAATACAGGTCAGTTCATTAAGCCCATCAGAAAAAAGTTTCCTATCAGCAATCCTCATACTAAGCAAGCATGTAGCGACAGTGGAGAGGAAAACTCCCTTTTAACAGGAAGAAACCTTCAGAGGATCCTGGCTCAGTATAAGCAGCCATCCTCCACGACTCACTGGGGATGGAGAAGACAGAGCACACACACACACACACACACACACACACACACACACACACACACACACACACACACACACACACACACACACACACACACACACACACCAAGCAATGTGTCTATGGTTACATTGTGATTTCTTAGTAAGTATTCTATTTGGTGAGAGATAAACTTTATTGTATTTATCCTAGTGAATCTAATGTCAAACGGGTAAACTAGCAGTAGCACATCCAACGTCAAAGAACGCAAAAAGTTATTATCAGGAGAGGGAGAATGTTTAAGTGGTTAGCAGCAGTGTGCTAGCCGATGGCCCCCTCCATGAGGCCACCACAGCTCAGCAGAACATCATTGTAGCTTCTTCTGGGGAGAAAAACTTAGTTAAAGAGCAAGTCACCCCCAAATAAACTTTTTTTTTGCTGATAAACAAAATAAACGAGTGTCTAATCGTGCTGCAGACACGTGTCGTCAATAATTTGGCACTTCAGTGCATCTTAGTTAAAATTTAAATATTCTGCCTAAAACGGGCAGTGTTGTGCCGTTGTCAGGTAAAAACTCTGCACTGTATTTTAATTTAAATCTGCCACCGCTATTGGCTAAGAAGTGTGCTATGATGTAAGCTGGTACATTATGATGTTACAATGCTGTCGTGAGCCTGAGTGTGTGTGTATTTGTTAGCGGCTCCGCCCTCTCGGTCTGCCAGGCAACAGCATGTGTTGCATTTTTCAAGCATGAAGTGGGAGTGGAGTTAGACTCTGGTAGGGGTTGACTTGCTCTTTAACAGCTAATGATGCAATTAGAGAGTAGTGGTAGAAGGTAGTAGAGCGTGGAAAGTCAGTGTATCCTCCAGCAGTCTAAGCCTATAACAGCATAACTACAGAGATAACTCTGGATAACCTAGCCTTTTTAGATGGAGGCATGTTGGAGGCAGGGCAAGGGAGAGCCGTCTTTACCGACTGTACACTCCACCTCCCTGTACTCCCCCACTTGTCCAGATCTAGGCTAACATCAGATTTTAACCATAGGCCCTATCAAATAAAAATGTTTTAAGCCTAGTCTTAAAAGTAGACAAGGTGTCTGCCTCACAGACTAAGGCTGGGAGCTGGTTCCACAGGAGAGGAGCCTGATAACTAAAAGATCTGCCTCCCATCCTAATTTTAGATATTCTGGGAACCACCAGTAGACCTGCAGTCTGAGAGCGAAGTGCTCGGTTAGAAACACATGGAACAATCAGATTACTGATGTATGAGAGAGCTTGATTATTAAGAGCTTTATATGTGAGAAGGATCTTAAAATCTATCCTGAATTTAACAGGTAGCCAATGTAGGGAAGCTAAGACAGGAGAGATATGATCTCTCTTTTTAATTCTCATCAGAACTCTAGCTGCAGCATTTTGGACAAGCTGAAGACTTTTAACTACATTCTGTGGACTTCCTGAGAGTAATGAATTACAGTAATCCAGTCTTGATGTAATAAATGCATGAACTAGTTTTTCAGCATCACTCCTGGAAAGGATGCTTCTAATCTTAGCAATATTCCGAAGGTGGAAGAAGGAAATCCTACAAACCTGTTTAACCTGGGATTTGAATGACATGTCCTGGTCAAAGATAGCACCAAGGTTCCTTACTTTGTTCTCAGTTGAAGTCAGACTTTTAATAAACAAGTGAGTTCATGTCACCGCTGAGCTGTTTTTGTTTGGAAAACCAATTAGCAGCTAACGCTAATGAGAGGCAGACAGGGTTTCACATGTTCATCGAGAAGACCATCTCCTGATATTTAAACAGACCGGATGCCAGATGTAATGATAGAGACCCTATTAAGGTATCAGTAAACTTCAACACGTTACTCTTTGCTTTAGTCTGTGTTTTTCAATCTTTTTTAGGGTGACCGAGGTGATCCTGGCCCTGCAGGTCCGTTTGGTCCCAAAGGAGATGGTTTTCCTGGCCCCATGGTGAGAAACAAGTCATGACGCACTACGTGTACACTGTCCATCCACACAGGGAGAGGAATCACCAATAAACCCGTGATTGATCACTCCATTTGAAAATATTATTTTAGTTTCACCAGGAACACCCAAATGTCATTACTGCCAGACGTAAAATCAAGAATCACTTCAGTAGAGCAAAGGTCCATGTCACAGCTGCCAAAAAGCGCCTGTGGGCCTATGAGAATACGTAGACCAATTTGGAAGGTGTGTATCCTGTTCCATTGTGAGTAAAACTAACAATACATTTCATTAGAAACATAAACATCATGTCAACAGTCAAACATGGTGGTGGTAGTGTAATGGTCTGGGAAGGGTTTGCTGCTTCAGGAGCTGGACCACTTGCTATAATTGATGGAACCATGAATTTTGATCCCTATCAGAAGATCTTGTAGGAAAGTGTCCAACCTTTGACCCTAAACAGGCCATTAATGTTGGAAAACCCTCTAAGTGAGACAGAGTACCGCCACGAGGATGTGAATGACTCATCACCAGTTTTCACAACCAGCTTAGTTCAGGGGCCACCTACTTTTATACAGATTCATTCAATTCAATTCAGTTCAATTCAATTCAATGATACGTTATTAATCCCAGAGGGAAATTAAGAGTGCTCATGCTGAATTAAATGGTGTTTATGTCTTAAAGAATGAAATAACCATCTGAAAACAGTATTTTTGAACTTACTCAGGCAAAGCCCACCCTTGTCAGGTTGAGATGTTGGAGGGCCCAAAATGCAGAAACCCAGGACGACATGAGGCAGAAGTTGAATAAATAAAATAAATCCTTTATTTTTGGGATGATCAACAACAAAAATTAATCCAAAGAAGGCTGGGAGCCAAAGTCCAAAAATCCAGATGAAGATCTGGGTATCCAAATATTCAAAGGCACGAGAAGATTAAATCCAAACACGAGGGGCACTAGAAGACATGACAGAAATACAAACAATGGACCGACCAGACACTGAGACAAGACAGGGCTTAAATACACAGGGAGGATGAGAGGGAGATGAGCTGCAGGTGTGTGGGGTGTGGGAGGAGGACCAGGTGAAGGCAATGACTAATCAGGGGAGAAACTAACTTGACCTAAGAATAAAACCTAATACAAAAGAGTAGGAAACATAACTACAATTCAAAGGGAGGGGGGAGAAAAATAATAAACACTGAAGGGAAAACACATACTAAATCATGAAAGGCTGTAACTAAAGGAAATGACTTGAGAAACCCAGAGGGCTGGAGATCTAGGGGCAAATGGGGAAAACCAGAAGACACATGAGGAAGACGCAGACATGACACATGAGGGCGCTAGGACACAAAAGGAGCACCTAGAGAGGATGGAGAAACACCAGGAGGCACATGAAGGAAGGGGCAGACCATGACAACCCTGCAGTTTACCTTGGCCTAAAATCTATGGAAACAAGTACATTCTAGATTAATTCTCAGCTAAAGTGTGTTTCTTACTAAATGTGATGCTAAAATCCATATCTCCCTAAAATGTGTTCTATATTTGTACTCTTTGTTTTTTAGGGCCCTCCTGGTCTACCTGGGCTTCCAGGAGAACCTGGTCCAGAAGGAGTGGCCATACCAGGACCAAAGGTGAGAACCATTCTTTAAGGTTTCCTTTGGATCACTTTGGAATTACCCTTGATGGGGTTATTGCCAAAAAGTTGCTTGTTACAGTAAAAGAGTGACAGAATTTAATTTGAATACATTGATGATTGATCCGTTTGGGTTAGACAAATAAAAAAATACTGTCCAACAGAGCTTAGAGGTCATTTCATTGAGTCTGAGCAAAGCTATGTTATGGAAGCTGTTGCTCACTTAGACACAACTCCTTTAAATTGCACGCCCCAACTAATTTCAGAGTCAGCTATATATATTCATATGTGTTTATATGGCAGTAATGCTAACCACAGAACCATGCTTGCCCATTACCCTGTTAATTTTCCCCTCCCAGAATTTATCCTGAAGTTCCGACTATAGAAACACGCCTATAGACCCATCAGGGTAGACCAGCCAATCAGGACGCGGCTCATTTAATATTCACGTCCATGTGGGTGGAGTGTACTAGTCCTGCTATTGTAGGGCTTTATTGTGGGGTTTTGTTTGACCACTTATCAGGGCTCCTGGGTCATTGTGAGCCCCAACAAAGACTCAAACGATACACAGAGGCTCAACGAACATTTTCTATTTGTAAAACAAAAGTTGTTCTAGAACCCCTTTAAAGCATCCCTATGGAGTATGAGGCTTAGTATCTTCATCAGAAACCTGCCATATACTGTTCTATGTGTGTCTGCAGCTCTCTGGTGGAGGATCTACAGATTGCAAGAGCTAATTTTATTTGTTAATTACTGTTATATTGTTGTAAAATTACATATTTTATTCTAATTCACATTCCTCATTTTGAACCGAACGTTGGTGAACTTTGGTTTTCAGTCAAAGCTTCATTGCTGGTTTTAATAACATTTGTCCTCATAAAGTTTATTCATGAACAAGTTAAAGTGATTTAAGGAGATGTGCTTGGATTAATTCTGACCAACTTATCCAAGTGGACCAAGAATAACGGGCATTCTGACTGCTTTAAACCACATTAAAGGCACGTCAATACAAAGATGAACCAAATTCTTATCTTGACAATTCCTGGATAGATCTGCTGAGGTTAGTTTGAAACGCTTAAATAAAATTGTTCTTCTAAGTGTTGTCAGTATCTTCTGAATGTGTCACTCTTCAGGGGGACGTTGGTTTCCGAGGGTTGCCCGGTCCACCAGGACCTCCAGGTGAAGGTCTCCAAGGACAACCGGTAAATGGAAATGATTTCTGTTTTAATTTTAAGGGCAAGATTCGTTCATTAGGGGTTTATTTGTAAAAATATCAACTGTAAGAAGGTGTTCTGTGATCTCTAAGGAATAAAAACATCATAGCTCTGTTTTATGACACACTTCATGATCTTCCAATCAAACAGAAGCTAGGACATTGTTCTGGATATTTATTAAGACTTTCCCCCTGATACGTTGACACCAGTGCAGGGTGTGAGTTTCCACAGGTGTGTGTGTGTGATAAGCAGCAGCAGCAGGCACTGATGAAACAAACACCCCACATGTCCTCACTGGTCCCATCCAGGGTCCCTGCAGACCTCAGACCGGCATCTCTGCAGGTCAGGGCTCCTCCACTGGCCTGATTCAGCCGGCTGAATTTAATTAGGGTCTCCAAGTCATCAAAGGACTAAATAAAAAGCCCTGACAGATGTTAGACCGGGTCCATGCTGAATACATGCTGACATCACAGAGTCGGCCTTAGACAGAGAAATTACTGTTAGATCAAGATTTAGATTATTTATAAATATTTTGGGGTAAAACTCTCTGAACAGAATGACAGCAAATATTTTTAGAAAATATTCTGCAGAACATAAAATTATTTCTCCTGAAATAAACACAACTTCTGATTTATAAAATGTGTATTTACGTAAAGTGAATAGTTGGAGTTTTTCAGACTTTTGAAATCAACAATTGAATATATATATATATATATATATATATATATATATATATATATATATATATATATATACAGATAAATAAATAAATATATATATACATATATATGTATATATATATATATATATACAGATAAATAAATAAATATATATATATACATATATACATATATATATATATATTTATTTATCTGTATATATATATATATATATAAATATATATACTGTATATATGTACTAATATATATTTATATATACATATATATATTTATACATATATATATATATATATGTATGTATATATATATATAAATACATATATAAATATATATATATAGACACATATATATATTTATTCATATATATATATATATATATATACAGATAAATAAATAAATATATATATACATATATATGTATATATATATATAAATATATATACTGTATATATGTACTAATATATATTTATATATACATATATATATTTATACATATATATATATATATATGTATATATATATATAAATACATATATAAATATATATATATAGACACATATATATATTTATTCATATATATATATATATATATATATATATATATATATATATATATATATATATATATATGTATTTATATATATATATTTACATTTTACTACAGCAGTTATTTTTGCATACACACACACACACACACACGCACACACACACACACACACACACACACACACACACACACACACACACACACACACACACACACACACACACAAAGGGCCCCTCGACCCCACTTCAGACTGGCCTGCCCTACCCTTATGGTAACACTTTACAATAAAGGTCCCTTTATTAACGCTGCTTTGTGCATTATTAAGCATTAATAAACCATTAATTAAAGTATTAAAAACTGCTTAAAATTATGTAATGCATTACCAAGCAGTCACACACTCCCTGGCCCTTTGGGCTGACCTTAAGAACACATAGTAGTTAATATATGGAACCTTAATAATGGGATCCTTTGTTTATTAATGCTTAATAATGCATTATGCAAGCATAACAAAGTGTTACCAAACCTTTGTTTCTTTTACATTAAAACACTCTGAAAGGAGTCTGTTTTTAACTCCTAAATAAATACTCGTGTTTACCTCTTTCCTTTAATTCCTCGACCCTTTGACAAAATAATTTTAGTGATTCATGAAGTAACGGTGGTTGACAACACCAATAATGAAATAATGCATAACTAGTTACTTATAGATTTTGACGATGGTGCTAAATTATGTCGTATTTGTTCCTTTAAGGCTTTAATTTTTAGATCAGGGAGGAGTTTGTACTTTTACCTCGTCTTCCACTACATTCTCAGAGAAAGAACCGGAGTCTAGTCTTGTAGCAAACACCATCCACCCTTTCACTGCTCTTCGTTCTGAGCCATCTAACCCTATTAAATGGGCCATTCCCATCTGTACCGGGTCGGCCCGGGCCGGGAAGCCCCAGTCGGCCCCAGCCTGGCCCGGTTGATTCCACACATTCTTGCCTTAAGCCCATGTGGCCTGATTCTACCCACCAATCAGAGGCTTGCTCTAATGGAAGGTGTGAATTTGCTGTCAGCAGTGGGTGTGTTGTCCCTGGTCGGCCTGAAGCAGACCCCCTCGAGAAGAGGGCTGAGAATGAGACATGGTTGGCCCGGAAAAATACCAGGCCACCCAGATATGTAAACAACCTACGCTACCCGGCCCGGGCCGACCCGGTACAGATGGGAATGGCCCATTAGATACCTAATATTCATCAGCCTTCATCCTAATAACTGAAACAATGATAATCAATGGTAAGAAAACTGGTTTTACTGGGAAAAAAGTAAGAATTGTTCAAATCTAATTTCTCATTGCACACGTCTTTGTTATGGTAGCTGTTTTGGTCTTGTGCGATCTTCTCCAAAACACTTTCAGGTCAAAGTTAGCAGCTTAAAGAACCTTGTTTTGATTTGCAGGGGAATCCTGGACGACCAGGTCCACCAGGACCAATAGGGCCACAAGGACTCGGAGTTCAAGGGCCAAAGGTAGGCTGGCATCGGCGTAGAGGCTGTTCATGTTCATCCCCTTTAAATAGTCCTGTGACTTTTAGTACCAAAGGTTTCCATCTCCAACTGTTGTCCTCCGTGTGTGTTTCAGGGTGAACAGGGGTCCCAGGGTGTGTCGGGGCCCAGAGGGTTGCCGGGAGAGGGTTTTCCTGGACCTAAAGTCTGTCACCGTGCTGCGTTAAGCCTTTCAGTGGTTTAGTAGCTGTCTGATCACAACTGTTTTTCTTTGTTCTGTACCAGGGTGACCGAGGCTCGTCGGGGGAGAGGGGACTCAAAGGGATCAAAGGAGAAATGGGAGACCCCGGAACGACGGGACTACCTGTGAGTGACACCGACGAGGCGTTTGCTGTGTTTGCCTTCATAAGGCCTGGAAACCAGAATTGGATCTTGATCGTTTATTATAAAACCTTTGCGACTTTGGGGTAATTTTGGTGTTCTGATCTTAGGGTCGAGCAGGTGTCAAAGGGGAAGCAGGCCTCACTGTGAGTCGCAGCTTTCTGCAATATTTATTTGTTGAGATGTTTCTCCTTCTTATCTAAACGCTCTTGTTCTGGTGTTTTAATTTCAGAGAGAGGACATCATTCGAATGATCAAAGAAATCTGCGGTAAAGTCCCGTCGGATCTGTGCTGTATTTATTTCACTCGTCTGGATTGAATTAACAGCTGAAATGTTCCAGGACAGGATTCAGTTCCTGTCCTACCTTATCTGTAGATGGCTAGGTCTGATTTCACTGGCTGAACCTCACCAGTGACAGCGCAGCCATGATCTCATGTTTAGATGTGATGTGATTCCAGGATGTGGGATCAAATGCAAGGAGCGGCCCATGGAGCTGGTGTTTGTCATTGATAGCTCCGAGAGCGTTGGCCCAGAGAACTTTGAGATCATCAAGGACTTTGTGACCGCGCTGGTGGACCGGGTCACAGTCGGCCGCAACGCCACCAGGATTGGCCTGATTTTGTACAGTCTGGAGGTGAAGTTGGTGTTTAACTTGGCGCGATACGTCACCAAAGAGGGCATCAAGCAGGCCATCAGGAACATGCCATACATGGGCGAGGGCACCTACACTGGAACAGCCATCCGTAAAGCCACGCAGGACGCCTTCTACGGTTCACGCCTGGGCGTCAGCAAAGTCGCCATCGTGATCACCGACGGCCAGACGGACAAACGAGAAGCCGTGAAGCTGGATTTGGCTGTACGAGAAGCACACGCCGCTAATATTGAGATGTTTGCTATAGGGATCGTGAACAGCTCGGACCCAACTCAGGCCGATTTCGTGAGGGAGCTGAATCTGATCGCCTCGAACCCCGACAGCGAGCACATGTTTCTCATTGATGACTTCAACACTCTGCCAGGTAAGCTGACGCTTGAAGCCATAATAGTGCAGTGTTGGGAAAAGGCATCGATGCACTTCTGGCCTTAAAGCACATACAGTACCCACGTCTCCCTCCTACTGGGGAAAAGCAGAATTACAACTGTCATAAACAACCCTGCTGCAGCTTGCTGTAGCTAGCGCTAACAACAAGCTACTGCTAACACGAGCCAAATCATACAGAATAAGCCACAAAGTGAAAAGATGCACAATGGTGGACAAAAATATGACTTACAAATCCAGTAGCAACAAAGCTAGGTCAACATTAGTTCCTGACTTCATAGCCTCCTTTAGCTCCCTCAAACAAGTGTAGGCTGCACCGATGTTCACTCTTTTTAAGCTCTTTGCTTTCCCTACAAAAACATTGCTCTCTTATCTATCCACCATCATGCCAATAAAAAAGAATCAATCTTCTTCCTCTTGTGCTTAATGGAAAGTCAGTTAACTAAATGAGCTAATTGATAGCCTTTATATGAGCTACCAGCTGAGTAAACAGCTGACAGCCATAAAGCATGTAGAGAGTTCCCACTAGTGTTAATATCTGAACCACAAAACTGCTTCTGGTCACCAGAGAGCTGCAGAGTGCTGTCCAATGTGAAGTTGGTAAAGTTTGTGGCTGAAGAATCACTCAAACCAGTTTGAAAGCATTAGCTAAAAGCAGGGCCGGCTCTGGGTAATTTGGTGTCCAAGGCGAGAATGCTGGGATGTTGTTCGTAAATTGACTCCCTCTAACGGACAGTACCATTTGTCCGAACGTCGTTTTCCTGTAGGGGATCTGAAGGTCTCCTCTAGTGGAGGCTCTGGTACCATAGCCTTTGTCTGGTCTTAGTTTTATGTATGCGGAAAGTGGAGGCGGAGCTAGTCCATTAAGTGCTCTGTAGATTAAACAACTATTTTTGAACTGAATAAAAAATTTTCATTAAGCATGTTGTGCTTTGCCAGAATATTACAATGGTGATGTGACAAAGGCTTTTGATCCAAGATTTTTATAGACTTTTTGAATAATATTTCTATTGGTTTTAAAAGAGTGTCCCCAGTGAATGACCAGGTTGTGATGCAGTAGTCTATATGAGAGAAAATCATGGAGTGCAAAAACATTGCAGCTGAAATTGTAGTCATTGAAGATCTTATTTGTTTAAAGTTATTTATATTGAATTTAATTTCAGACTTTCCACTGAAAGACTTTCCATTGTTTGTTTCAGCTCTGGAGTCCAAGCTGGTCAGCCAGTTCTGCGAGGACGAGAATGGAGCTCTGATATACAACAGAGTGACCAACGGCTATAACGGTCAGGGAAACAACGGGAACAGGATTGTCAGTGGGAGCTACGCTACTGGTGGTTACGCGTACAGGCCTGTGACTCAGCAGGAAATCCTGACCGGCGTCAGCTCTGGTAGCGGCACTCACAGCCAAGGGGGTCGGACAGAAACCACCTTGCGAGGCAGTAAAGGATCAGGACCAGTGCAAGTAGGGAAAAGATTCCTAATGTACACGAACATTACAGAAAGAGCTCCTCATCACCACTGTCTCCTGCTGGTTCTGTCCTCAGCGCGGCGAGGGAGAGCAGCACGTGCAGATACCGCCTACGAACTCTGGAACTGAGCGTGGGGACACGTTTAACCGTGACACCTTAGAAAACAAGCCTGTCGCTCCAATCGGAGAAGATAGCAGAGGTTCCTCCTCATCATCCTCTACAAATAAAACCACAGCATCCTCAGGTGTAGCAGTACCAAATGTTCCTGCACCAAGGCCGACTCTTCCCAAAGGTACAAACAGTCTTTTATTCTCTTCCTGTAAATGCTGCGTTCCTTATAACAATCAGTTATTGGGCAATAGTTTGTTTACACAACTATGCAATCAGCCAATCACGTCAACTCTTTAGAACACCTCCTGATGGCTACTCCCAGCTGGATCATGCACCACGTCACAAAGCTCAGATCATCTCTAAACATGGGTTCTCTGGACTCCAACGATGTGGTGGGACGGGAGCTTCTAACCATAGAATGGTTAAACAATTGCCGTTAACCCATCCATCTTCATTCGGTAATGGGTTTCCTCCATCAGGGGGCTGGGCTCAGCCTTAGAGATAGGGTGAGGAGCTCACACATCTAGGAGAGACTTGGAGTAGAACTTCTGGTCCTCCATGTCATAAGCATTTGGTGAAAATCCACTCTGGACACCTCCTAGTGGAGGTGTTTCAGGCATGTCGTGACAGCAGGAGGCTCTCGGGTCGACCCGAGACACGTTAGAGGGCTTACATCTCCACAGGGGCCAGGGAACACCTTGGGATCCCACCAATGGAGCTGTGGAAGTTGCTGGGATGACGATGGCCTGCTGGAGCTGCTACCCTCGTGACAAAAACAAATAGACGGATGTGACTGCGTGATGATGTCACGTTAACGTGGACCAGAACATCCGATGAATGTCTCCACAACCTTGGATCTTCGATATGAAGAATGAAGGTGTTTCTACAGGCTAAAGGGAGTCCAGCCTGGGAACAGTAAGGTGTCCCTAATAAAGTGTCCAGAATTTGAAGCTGAAACTAAACTAGCGCCGCCTACTGGCCGCGTTCAGAACAGAGTCATGTAAACAAACAAACTTTTGCTTTATTAGATAATAATAAAGACTTGAACTCAACGAACGAGCAAATCCAGATGTTTTCATACGTTAGCTGTAATTAAAGGGACTTTACAGACTTTTGAATTTTTATGCTCGCGATTGCCCCCTCAGGCCAAAAGCGTAACGGCAGCTTCAATAGTAGGCTCGTGCACGAGGCGCGCATGCTGTACGTGCACACTCCTTAACAAAAATAACAGCTGAGACAGTCCCGTGTGTGTGTGTGTGTGTGTGTGTGTGTGTGTGTGTGTGTGTGTGTGTGTGTGTGTGTGTGTGGCCCGGAGGACAGAGGACAGGAGAACGTGCAGCTAATTAATTAAATAATTTGGTTCTGTACCTTTCTCTTCAGCACAGCCGACAAAGGTTTATGATGGGTCAGTCCTCCTGCATGCTCAGATCATTCCCTTCCCTTGCTTGAAAAATTGTTCCAAAATGAAAGTTGAACCCACATCTTTTTTATCTGTGAATTCAATGCCGTTCGGCGAGTCTCAAAAATTTGGGCATCTTACTGTAAAAAATATACCATTAATGTAAAAAAGAAACTCTAAAATGTTCACACCCAGAATCAAACCCAGGTCTTCTGCATAGGAGTCAGACATCTTACAAGGTGAGCTACACACCAGTAACTTTAATAGTATCTGTAACTTTTATATCCTTGATGACAGCTGAAACAACATCAAACCAAAGAACGGTTCGGAGCGAAAATGGCTATTTTGTTGCTAATTTGCAGGAAATATCTAGAAGAAAGTTCTACAGAAAGTAGCTAAGGGTCCTCAGAAATGTAGCTAGCTTTGTCACTAGGCGTTAGGAACAGCGACAAAGTGGCACTGCCTCTCTCTCTGCTGCTAAAGCTACGGATAGCAAATGCTACTGGCGATGCCTGAGCGTGAACGCGCATGAAGCAGCCTGCTCGACCCGAGCATCTCTCTTTTTCTGTGATTTTACAGAAAAACAGGCAATCAGTAAAAATGCCAGGGCTCATTCTACAGGACCAGGGCATTGCAGGAGAATGTATGAAGAAGACATTTATTATTTCTATACATGTTTTGGCTGTCACACTTCCATAATGCCCCTTCAAGTATCTGATGGGTAAAAGAACACCATGATGTAAGTGGGCGGGGCTTTCAGACACATCACAACTGGAACACAACACCAGTGTTGTAAGCAGGAAATTCCTGGTCTCGATATGGTGATGCTTCAAACGGTTGCTTAGCAACAGTTTGTTAATGAGCTGGGATGTGATGGCTGGAGAAAAAAATTCATCAGAAAAAAACTGTAGCTTAACTTTGATCTGCAGCATTAGTTCTGTGAAAGTAGTTTAATGACCTTTAATCTGAACTAGACCAACCTCTAAAACCCTCTGATAACACACCGCTGACGGCACCAATCCAAATCAGAGCAGAAACCCCCGCTGTGATGTCATGTCATGATGTCACACGCTGAGGATCGGTGGTACAGTCCGGTGGGTGCGGCGGGCTGGTGGCCGACAGGACTCGGCTCCGCTTCATGCCGTGAGAGCATCCAGCCAGGAACAGCGAGGCCAATTATTTCTGAAGGAGTGCGGCTATTACCGAGCAGCCGGCTCGGGAGAAACGGCGCGGAAAGGGCCGCTCTGAGGGCTGACTGCTGTGTGTGTGTGTTTTCACCCCTTCATGTGACACTCTTCTCCCACAGAGACGGTCCCCTTGGACCCTCGCTGCGGCCTGGTTCTGGACCAGGGGACGTGTCGGGAGTACAACATCCGCTGGTACTACGACAAGCAGGCCAACGCTTGTGCCCAGTTCTGGTACGGAGGCTGTGGAGGCAACAAGAACCGCTTTGACACGGAGGAGGAGTGCAGGAGGACGTGTGTGGTAGCCAGAGCCACAGGTATCCCTTCTTTCCCTCCTTCCTTCCTTTCTTCTTTCCTGTTTTTCCTTTTTCTTCTTGCCTTCCTCCATTCCTTCTCTCTTCATTCCTTCCATCCATCCTTCTTCCCTTCCTTATTCCTTCTCTCCTACCTTGCATACCTCCTTCCCTCCCTCCCTGTCTCCTTCCTTTCTTATAAATAAAAAACAGAAAACACACCTGTACCAAATTATGACGCTCAACAAAGTTTCTAAAGATCTTATTGGGTGTGAAGAACTTAGGATGGTTGATTGTTGAGTTTGCAGCATGGTCTGGGCTTCTCTGTTAGGCCTAAGGCTTGGATAAGCAGTGCTGATTGGGAGGAGTTTATTATGGGCTGTACTATTAACATGATCCCGTTTTGTTTCCTCAGGAGGCTGAGTGAAGGCATCTGCTGTAAACACTTCAAGGAGGGGCAGCTAAAACCTGACATTGTTCACAAAATAGGATTTTTTTTATTTTTCTCAGGACGTTTGCCTTCTCACCAGCAACTCTTTTCACCGCCGTCTTCGTGTCCCCTCCTCCAGGACTTCTAAAAGTTTTCAAACACCTCTTGGTTTTAAGCAAAGCTGGAGGTCCTCGATAATTTCTACTCAGGAAAAGAAGACGAGCGCTCGACCCTGTGAGCTGGTGCTACAGCGTTCTTCACCACCGAGAAGATGAGATAGGATGCTGGTGCAACACGAACAGTAGCTATAAATGTCTCATCACTTATGCTAATAAAGTCATCTTTTTGTTTTATTTTCTAACGGCTCAAACGCCTTTAGTCACCTTCATTTCTTTGTATTTTGCGTCCAAGCAGCCAGACTTTCTTGGAACCATTTAATGACTTTTACAGGCTTTTAACCAGACTCTTTAATAACAATGTTTTTATTTATTTAAAGCAAAGCAAACAACATGGAAGCACCATAATCTTTAGTGGAAATAGAAACTTGGCCAATAATCGATCTAATGACACTGAAAGCTGCAAAGGCAAATTTAAAAAACAGATTCATTTAAAACACTTTTAATACTTCTTAACAATGTTCTATAGCTAGCTAAGCTATAATAGTTTGTGGAGATTAAATGAAAACGAAGATATTAATAAAATGGTTCTTTCGCATTTGTCTAAAATCCTCCGTCAATAACGTGTTTTGGACCGAAAGCAACTATTGGACACGTCAAACCGCTACTCTTCCCTGGGTCCTTTATTCATTACGCACTCACGTGTTTAGCAGCAAAACACCACTAGTGTGGGAGGTTCTCCGATCAATAAGATCATTTCAACTTTAGGACAAACTACCAGAGTCCCAAAAAGAAAAACACCATCTGAAGTCACGGACATCAAAAGATGTTTGGGCGTAACAGCTGGCGACTGGTGTTTAGCGTGATCTCGTTTCCTCCGAGATCGCGGTTTTCTGGTGGAAGGAACCCGACGGGAGGGGTGAACAAATCACCAAAGATCGACATTCGGAAAAACTAAAAAAACAAATAAGAATCAAGACTGGTTTTAAAAAAGTACAAAAAAGAGCCGGGGCTGACTCACAACGGCGCTATTTATCGTATCTGTTCATTTTTACATGTAACTTAAGTAGAATATTTTTTTACATCTGAATGTGAGTTAAGTTTAGGTTTTTAAACCAGACAAAGCACACACTGCCCTCTGCTGGGCGACTGGTCGCTAAAGATGTGACTCCTTAGGCTTGGTGTATGCTTGACGCATTTACTTTCCGCTTGGTGATGCGGCTCGCGGCTGGAACGTGCTTCACAACTTGCAGCGTTTATGGTTCATGCGGCTTGTCTCTGCGGTGAGCCATTATTCTCCCAAACTGTAGGGGGCAGCATGGAGCTCTACGGCATGCATCCAACACTACACCATAGTAGAAGTAGAAATTACTGTTGTTTACAACATGGCATTCCAGCATTTTTTAACAGCGTCCTCGTTTTTTCCGACAGTGCGAGCTATTTCTCTCCAAGAATTATTAACAACATGTTGATCACGGTGATCTCTGAGAGCTGAATCATACAAATGTCTGTATTTACAAACCTCTGCCATACTAGTTCTTGCCAGTCCGCCATGTTTTTCCGCGTCCGACCGTCCGCGTGGTTAGAAAATTTCCTAGGTGCGCGGTGCGGAAAGTTTTGGCCGTGCGGGTCGCAATTTTGCCGCGTGGAGCCGTGCGAACCTTGCGGACGCGTCAAGCATTAACCAAGCTTAAGTCATTTTCCTGTTCGACGAGCTGAATTATTTCCTGTTTCTCAAACATAACGACCACCCCGACACTGTCAACCCTTCTAATCAACCTAATATTACTTCGTTTCACAGCTAACTATCCCTCAAAGTGTCTGAATAAAAGAATTTCTAATTCCTCTGTAAATTAACCACAAACTAACATTGTGTCTGAACTTTGACATTAAAAGAACAATAATTGGACATTATTTTGGTGAAAGATATTAATTTATTACTTTGTTACCAGGCGTTTTATTTACAGTTAAATGACAACTTTAAGAAAAGCCCATAACATTTGACTTCCTTAGATCATTTTTTATTTGGATCAGTAACATTAATAATGTATAACGTCAAACAATGCCATTTTTATGATGTATTTCTTTTTTGGGGGTTCTTAATTGTGTTTTCACTTAAGCTAAATGAATGATCAACTGACATGTGACCAGAACATTGAGTCATTATGGAAACCATCTGTAACAAACTCAACCCTTACAAGGATGTGGAAAAACAAATAAAACTATGAATCTTCCATTTACTTGGCTTTATTTGATGGTGCACAATATGAAACACAACATTGGGTGTTTGTCAATGTCAAGGCGCCTGGCCTTGCGAGGCAATGTCTAGCGAGGCCGGGCGCCTTGCTTATGTAGTAACGCTACACTTATGAGGACGCTGTCCTTCCTTGGTCAAAGAAAACGGTTAAATGGAACAGACTTGCATCACGTGACCGCGGCTTCCACGACAGTCACTTAACGTCACGTGACATGGGAGATAACGTTATATTTTTTACGTATTAGTTTAAATGTAAATATATAACAAGTCTTTTACTTTTTAAATTGTGTATATGTTTGTTAAATTAAATATATAAGTGAGTTACTACCCGCTAGCCATCAAGGCTGCAACTACTAACTAACTAACCAACCATAGATAACTTCTTTGGATCTAAAAAAACTATTTAAATTATCTGACTTACTTTTTAATTTGAAAATTGCCCCCAAAGTAGCTGCAGGCTTCTGATCCGCCGTCCTTTTGAAAATACAGCGGTGTATTCTGAGTAGTTTTTGATCAAGGCTAGGCTACAGGACACCTCACGTGTGTCCGCTCAGCTAGCTAAACAGCTAACAAACGGAGAACACATGCCTCAGTAGAACATGAATATTGGAACATGTCTTGGTGGCTCCCGATGACGTATCTCCTAGGCAATGGGGGCGGGGCCAAGACATCAAGGCAATGTTCCTTGGCATTGAGATTTTTTTTTCTGCTTGGAGGGTGCAGACACTTTTCTTCTCCTCTCCTCCATATCTTATCCTCAAGGCCTTTGTCTGTCTGTGTGTGCTGGGTTCACGGTTGCTTCTGCATTTTTTCTGGAAACTGAAATTCACTAAAATGGATCTCGTCAGTTGGTCACTCAACGCGGTTGATAAAATTTTTTCAATGATGAGAACAGGAGAAGGGGCTCCCGGATGCCCCTCCAGGATAGACCAGCTTGTCTGTGGAGGACTCTCAAGACGTGTGGATATTCGTGGTGTTGGTGTCGGGTTTTCTGCTGATCGGCCTTGGAGGCTACCTGGCTTACCGGAAAATTAACGAGCTGTCAAGGAATATTGGCCTGATCCCCGAGCTCAGAGATGGATTGCACCGCACTGTGAATTCACAGACTCACATAATTGTTCAGATGAATCGTAAGCTTGGGACTTTGGCGGAGATTCATTCTTTGGCACAAAAGATGGATGCCATCAAGGAGAGAGTGGACGAATCAGTACGGATTGGGATAGATTAACGTCCATTATTGGGATTTTGAGAGGTTGAGGACCAACAAACTGTAAGACAGAGAGGAAATTATCTCTGTCTGGCCCCAAAACAATTTCTAATCGGAATCTGGCGTTCTTGAGCCTCCAAGGCTCCAACGAAAACTCCCCCCTCAGAAGATATGTGGAATGTGCCATCGCTATGGCAACTCAACTCTGTCTCCTATCCCAGCCTGGGCGGGACAGCGGGAAGGCCGCTGAAGCATTCCAGGGTCACTCCAACCCTCAGTGCTCCTCCCTCTATCCACACTGAGGTGGCATGCGCTGCTTCTATCGTGGCTGCAAGAACTGAAGTGGGGATAGTCCCAACCCACCACCCCACCTAGTGGACACTTATGTTGTGTTGTCTGAAGTCTGTTGCATATCTGTCTGAGGTGTTTTATTTTATTTATTTATTTATTTATTTATTTTGCAGAGCAAAGCTGCTCTCCCGGTGGAAGGTAGCTCTGAAGTTCCTTTTTTCCCTCCACCTGAACCTATCCTCATGTTACCCTTTTATCTCTATTAAGGTAGCACGACTCAGGGTTGCGAATGACCACAGTCACCAATTCTTGTCACGTGTCTTGCCCATGTATGTCTGACCTCTGAATTGTGTGTACTGAAACTCTAATTTCCCTCTGGGATTAATAAAGTATCTTTGATTTGATGTTTCATGTTTTCTTTGTTTTATTTTGAAGGGACAAATATCTAATACAGGTGTGGACAAAATAGTTGGTGCCCTTCGATCAGTGAATGAAAAACCCCCACAATGGTCACAGGAAGGACTTGAATCTGACAAAAGTAATAGTAAAGAAAAATTCCATGAAATTTAAAAATCACTTTTTGCAGTGTAGTTTATGAGGGGATGCACCACACCAGTCACGTGGACTGGTGTGGTGCATTTGATCAGAGGGGAGCATTTGTTCACATAATTTAAAAATGTGTGATTTATTCTATTAACATATTAATAAATATCATTAAACTTCCAGAAACTCAGTGTTCTGAACAGCACGTAACTGGAAAGCTTTCACTGTCTGACTGTAGCTTTAAGGAAGTAACAGAGCTCTCTTACGCAGATCATCTCTCTGCTGCTTGAATTACATTTGAGAGACTCGTGGACAAGTGGCGTAGTCTGATCTATCTTTAGTGCTGCCCACAGGAGAAACGTTACCTAACTCCACACTCTTCCTAAACTTTGGCCTGAGAAACAAAACTGAGTCACACACACTCTTATTGATCCAGACACACCATTCATGGCAATCCTGGAAAACACACACAGCTCAAGATTGATGTAAAATAAATGTTTAATGAACATTTTTATCCCTCAGATGTTCTTCCAGTGACACACACACACACACTCACTGGGACCGTTGTGTGCCTTTCACCTGTTTTCACACACAGCTGCTGCTCTGAAAACTGCTCGTGTCTGTTTATAGCTTAGTGCGACTTTGTGCTCTCTGCTAATTAACGCTAACGTGACATGGAAGAAAACAAGATGCACTCAAAAACACAGATAATAAACTCAACGATCCGGGAGTCTGTCACCATCGAGTCTTTCCACGAAAACCATTACCGATAAATTAACTTTATTTGTTTACATGCAACAAGCAGAAAACGGTTATGTTACTCTGGAATACAGATAGAGAAGTTTTATACTTTTACAACCAAACTGATTAGTTATGTGAACTTACCAGCTTACCAATGTTACAAACATCTGTGGTATATTTTTAGTTTTCCACCGTTATCTAAAATACCGAGTTCAAGTTAAAGATCATCATTAGCATGAATGGGTCGGGCGTAGAAGTTAAAGATAGATTAATGATGGCGTTCCTAAAGTTGGGTGGTGATGGTTCTATTCAAGAAGACCTCCGAACCCCCCAGTGCAGACAGAAGAGGACGAACTTCTGAGGTGTAAATATTTTTAGACGGTGACCGTGATTGGTATAAATACCTTGCCACTTTCAGGTTTAGCAGCATTGTCGGTAATACCAGGGAGCTGAATCACGGCATTGATTCTCCATCCGAAGCCTCCAGTTGCTTCTTTCCATCTGTGATGGCAGCTGTTGGAGCCCAGGCTCGTGCTGCTCAGCGAGTCGGCCCGGGGAGATTCCACCAAAGGGGGTTAGGGGGTCCTATATTTAGAGTAGGCAGGATTAAATTGCTCTGTCTTCACACCAGGAAACTTTTCTCTGCTCAGCCTTTTCCAGCCAGGACAGACAGCCAAAAGGACCTCTGCCGACCATCTCCCTCCTTTGGCCTCCTCAATCACCATGGACCCTAACGCCATCAAGGAGGAGCTGCGCTTGTTTCAAAGCACCCTGCTCCAGGACGGTCTCAAGGAGCTTTTGAATGAGAACAAGTTTGTGGACTGCACCCTGAAGGTGGGCGATCGCAGCTTCCCCTGCCATCGGCTAATCATGGCCGCCTGCAGCCCTTACTTCAGGGAAATGTTCTTCACAGAGGATGGGAAGGAGGCGGAAAACACCAAAGAGGTGGTCCTGGAGGACGTCAACCCCTCCATCCTGGACATGATTATCCAGTACCTCTACTCAGCTGAGATCGACCTTACCGATGAGAACGTTCAGGATATTATTGCCGTGGCAAACAGGTTCCAAATCCCCTCGGTCTTCACGGTGTGTGTCAACTACCTCCAGAAGAAGTTGTCCCTCAGTAACTGCATGGCCATTTTTAGGATGGGCCTGGTGCTCAGCTGTCCGAGGCTTGCTGTGGCTGCACGCAACTACATCGCAGATCGCTTTGAGCTTCTTAATAAGGACGAGGAGTTCCTGAAGCTCGCAGCTCACGAACTGTTTGCCATCATAGGCGGGGACTCGCTGAATGTGGAGAGAGAGGAGCTGGTATTCGAGTCGGTCATGACCTGGGCCCGCCATGATAGGGAGAAGCGCCTTAAGGTCCTAAAGGATGCCTTCAATTGCATCCGCTTCCGCCTGCTGCCGGAGAAATATTTCAAAGAAAAGGTGGAGACTGACGAGCTCGTCAAGAGTGACCCGGAGCTTCAGAAGATAATCCAGGTTGTAAGGGACGCCTACAAAGGAAAACTTACAGAGAAACCCAAGGATAAGGAGGGTGGAGAAGGGGCCAACAAGGAAGGAGGTGAAGAGGAGGAGGAGGAGAGCCCATTCCCTGGTTTTCTGAATGACAGTCGCAGACATGGCATGTATACACGTGACTTTATCCTTATGATCAATGACACGGCAGCGGTGGCCTACGATGTCACAGAGAACGAGTGTTTCCTGGCCGCCATGTCGGATCAGGTCCCACGCAACCACATCAGCTTGATGACGCAAAAGAACCAGCTCTACATTATCGGAGGGCTGTTTGTGGATGAGGAGAACAAAGATGTGCCTTTGCAGTGCTACTTTTTTTTGGTAAGCAGGTCTTGAGTTACTAAAGAGAACCAAATGTTGGGGAATGGTTTTTGAAACTCACCTGTTATTTAAAAAAATGTCAGGTTTATGAAAATGATTGGTCACTCTGAGTTTAACATGCAGGCTGAACGTGATGATAATCTTCTGCCCCAATTTCCTACATTTTTCCAGAAAAAAACATGGCAGACCTTCACACTGTCACTTAACGTTCATTGGACTCACCCATCTTGTCAAAGGTTTTGTTGGATGGAAAGCATCCAGGAAACAGCAGAGAACATGTTGACTAGTAGAAGCTAATCATTAGCATTAGCAAATCCACCACTAAGCAGGACTCGCCCAGGCTTGTGTTATTTGTGGAGATAAAACATCTGAGTTGCAAATTAAACGGTGTCTGTGGTAGAGTCACGTTGCTGTTATTCAACCAGAGATGCCAGAATATCAGGAGAAAGGACTCCCATTTCCTGTTGTCTGATGCTACGCTCTCCTCCGGCTGATTTCCACCTCCTCAAACAGGAGCAACAGAGCTTTTTCCCCCAGAGAACGACTTACATTGCATTCATTCCTACTAGAGACCACTGCAGATGTGTTAAAAATATGAGAAAAGTTGACCTTTAAGGCAGTCTCACCAAACCCAATCACATTCCAGTTTCAGTAAACCAGCTAGCTTTAGCCGTGTAGTGAGCAGTGACATTGTTAGCAAACATTAGCATTACAAGCTAAAAACTTTTTGCAACAGCCTGGGACTGTAGTACTATTATGACGTGTGAGCGTGTCAATTACTGTAGCTAACTCGACTTTTTATCGCATTCTAGTTTCAGTAAACCAGCTAGCTTTAGCTGTGTAGCGAACAGTGACTTTGTTAGCAAACATTAGCAACATAAGCTAAAACCTTATTGCAACAGCCTGGGACTGTAGTACTATTATGACGCGTGAGCGTGTCAATTACTGTAACTAACTCGACTTTTTAGTGCATGGAGCAAGCACGTCGGATGTTTAAACAAGAAACTTCTGACTTTTTGGTTCAGAAGTCACACTTGGGGGCATTCTTGTAGGTTTTCCTGCCTACCTGCTGATTTAGGATAAACTACTGGCCTTAAAGCACATTGATATGATTGTTTCAAGCTAGCACCAAACAAGTGTATTTTACTCCCTAATATAATATGTGAACATGTATATATTTTTATATATTCATCCCTAGTTGGATCCACTGTCGTCTGAGTGGGTCGCCCTGCCGCCCATGCCTTCCCCGAGGTGCCTCTTCAACATGGGGGAGACTCAGAACCTGCTGTTTGCCGTGGCTGGGAAAGACCTCCAGACCAACGAGTCGCTGGACACCGTGATGTGCTACGATATCGAGTCAGTCCTGTTTGTTCCCATTATCTTTACTTCATCTTTGTCTCTCACTTTATCCCTCACCTCTCTTACAGTTTACAGGTGATAATTGAATTCAGGAAATTAGCCAAACAGCTCTTTTAACAACAAGGAAATGGTGTTTTCACAAAATAAATATAGTTAGCTCTGATCTCATCTTCCAAATGTGATTTTTTTTTTAGTTTATACGAGAGTAGAGAATTTGTTAAGTACCATTTGTCCAAGTTTCATTTTTTTCCATCTAAAGTAAGCTAGCAAGCGTCCACTTGTTTAGCCCACTGAGATTTATGGGTAAATACGGTGTTTTCTTCAGGAAGATGAAGTGGAGTGAGACCAAAAAGCTTCCTCTGAAGATCCACGGCCATTCTGTTGTCTCATATAAGGGACTGGTTTACTGCATCGGAGGGAAAACAGACGACAAGTGAGTTCAGAAGTGTGTGTGTGTGTGTGCGTGCGTGCGTGCGTGTGTGTGTGTGTGTGTGTGTGTGTGTGTGTGTGTGTGTGTGTGTGTGTGTGTGTGTGACCACGCCGTGAGCGGCAGCTGTTTGCAGTCTATCATCCTGCCAGCCAGGAGGGCTGAGCGACTCATCACAGACAACAATTACAGTCTCACAGAGCAGGGCCGATATGCAACAATAATGGAAGATAGTGATCCGTTGCATCTCCTGTTCCAGCCAGAATGCAGCGTCTGTTTATTTGCTCTTCCTGGAGGCTTAGAGTTGAAAACACACACTGGTTACCAATACATTCACCGTGCATGGCTCAGCCGCTGTGTTAGTCAGAGAAAACTGTCTAAAAGCTTGATTTAATGCAACAACACCTACAGAGGTTTAGTTGTTATTCTTTGATTTTCCTGCTTTACATGTAAACGGGTAGGAAAAGAAACAAAGACCGATGTGATACATGAATACTCCCGGTTCAGTTCGTAGAAGTGAAATAAATTAGGGATGGACAATATATCGGCATCAATATCGGTATCGGCCGATGTTAGTCATTTTTTAACGTATCAGTATAGGTTCGATAAATAAAACCGGACCCATATCAACAACTGATATGTTTTCCATCTCATCCCCATTTGTTTGCCTGTTTCAGAGGGTGATATTCAGTCATGTGAACAGTGAATTAAATCATCTTAGAACCATAAATTTGTGTGTTGTGTGTACATAATAACGTCAATTCAGCTTTAATAATTTTCATTCTATGCAAAATCTGCTGATTTTAGAAGCATTAATGCCAGTATATCGATATTGGTTATCAGCCATAACAGTGATCTTAATATCGGACATCGGTATCGGCCCAAAAATTTCGTATCTGTGCATCACTAAAATAAATATTTGAACGAATGTACGGAAGCCCATTCTGCCACTTGAAAGAAAAAATTTTACAATTACGGGACGTAATCTTGGTAATTATGGGTTAAAGTCTGCCTACCATGTTTATTTGTAACTTTAAAGTCATACTTATCATTTTGTCATTTTAGTCATTATTAAGAGACAAAAATATAAACTCATAATTATTCATCTCAAAGTCATAAATATTAATTTCATATATTTTTATTATAATCTGGACATAATGATCAAAGAAATAGAAATTTACACTCATAATTATGACTTTGAAAGTCACACTTAAAGTTAAATTGTCTTTTGTAATTTTGAATTGAAATCCATAGTTAAGTTATGACATAAGTATGACTTCAAAGTCAAATTTTTTGAATATAAATGAATACATTTATAACACAACCCCATTCAAAGTCACATATCTTTTAATTTAGACTTTTTTGCATTTTTGAAACTGATTTAAACTCTTGAATATGAGTTTCAAATTCATAAACATAACATAAACCAAACGACCTCATGAATTTACTGTACCAACAATGTATTGTATATAATGTGACATTCTGTGTCATCAATATGTTGTTTATGCCTTTTTAATGGCACTAGTCACATTTATTTGATACCAACATAAATCACCAGCATTTGTTTCAAACTTATCTTTATGACTTTCAATGTCGTAATTATGAGATAAAATTCTAAACTATAAATTTACATAATGGCTTTCAAAGTAATGTGTACCCCTCAAGTTCACACAGGTTATCAATATATGAAAGTACAGGGTTTTGTTGACTGAACTCCCACATAAAACACCATAGATGCATAAAAGTCTTAATGAATGACAATCCTCACCATTCCAGGCATTTTGTTGCACACGTATGGTTACCATGGTTACCCCAATGGGCCACTTTTGGCAGTTTTAACATTCTTGTGGATCTTAATTGTTCTTTTCCAACCTTTTTATGAAGTTGTGTGTTAGCGTTAACACGATAATCACCACATGTAGTGATTTTGACTACGAACTTCTTTCGTCTCTTACCGTTACAGCAAAGCCCTCAACAAGATGTTCGCATACAACCACAAGCAGTCAGAGTGGAGGGAGATGGCTGCCATGAAGACCCCCAGAGCTATGTTCGGAGCCACCATCCACAACGGAAAGATCGTGGTAGCTGGAGGGGTCAACGAGGAGGGCCTCACTAACACGTGTGAAGCGTACGACTTCGCAGCAAACAAGTACGTACAAACCACCCACTTCACACGAGCTCCTTTCTTATTTAGCACTTTTTATACTTCAAAATTAAAGGTCAGTGAACCAACTAGATAGCTCCTGTTTGCACATGTGACCACAGGGAAATCTAAAAGATGTCTTTATCTTAATACCACCTATCTTTTGCTGTCTTGAGACAAAAATAGTTGTGAGAAAGTAGAGCAGCAGTGTGAGTAACTCTAAATCCCTGTGGTGATTTTAACCGGAAAGCAGGAAACATGCTTATTTTTTTACAATCTACCTAAATATATTTAATCGATTCATATCTGGGAAAAATATCTGTTTAGCCGTCTTCTCCATGTTCTCCACTGACTCCTGCTTTTCCAATATTTTCATGCCGCACATTTGCTGTCACAAATTCCTCAGAGAGTAAATAATCCCGGTAGCAGACTGCCGTTTCTCTGCCTCCCCTACTGGAAAAACCAGCATAGACCAGCATAGCTGGTAACCAGCATGGACCAGCAAAAACCAGCAAAGACCAGCAAGGAAGCCATGCTGGTCTATGCTGGTTTTTCCAGCAGGATCACATGTTAAATTTCTGTATTTTTATAGGTTTCTCACTTGTTGCTAGCTTGCTGCGCTTATACAATATTTTAACATTAGTTTTATTATTTGAATCCACTGTAGTGTCATTGCAATTTAATTGTTTTAATAAAATTGTTAAAATCTTGTGCAAAGGGTTTACTTCAGAATTTTTTTTTAATATATTTTTGCTGTTGTGGATAAAGCTCTTAAAAAACTTGATTAGTTAAACATGCTACAGCTAGCTGATACTAACATAAAATGATAACATTGATTTGTTATTTTGGATGACAAAAAATCTAACCATACTATCTCTATGTTGTGTAGTGATTAGCTTAGCTCACCAGTAAGAAAACCTTAGTTAAACTATTGAAGCTAATAGCATGCTAACTGCTATACATCATATAGTCAGACCTTAAAATTTTAAGTTTAAATAAATCTATTTTAAAATTGTCATTGTTTTTCTACTTTATCTCAACATCAATTTAATTCTCTTTCACTGTTGAGAACCAAAAATGTTAAAAATTATCTTTTATCTAATATCTATAGCACATTTTTTGCAGGATGTGTTCAAATGTAATGCCTCAGTTTAGATAAAGAGAACCATTTTGACCAGGCCAGCATGCTTAGGACTAGTCATTGCACGTCCTGTTCCAAAATGGATTTTCTTTGTTTCACTTTCCTGGTGAAGGTTCTCAGTTATCCTGGTCATGGTAATCCATATGATTAGGGACTGGACTTATTTGGTTTCTTGAAGGTGTTTCGCTTCTCATCCAATGAGCTTTGCCAATTCTGACTGTGATATGGGAGGGTCACGCTTATAAACTGTAGCTGTCTATTGTTAACGAGCAGAAACTCACTCTGAATACCCCTCCTCCCTACCCCCTTTTGAGTCATTGGCCTCTACTGGCTACTCTCGCTGGCGTTTGGACATTGAAGTTGGGGGAAGTAGGCCAGATATGGATTGCAAACTTGCACTCAGGATTTTGTATTGTATTTTAAATGGATTTCTTATAGTATTTTAAACGGATTTCTTATTGTATTTCTAATGGATTGCTCAATGTATTTTAAATGGTTATATGTCTGTCCTATTTTAGTGCTTTTTATTGGTGTACAGCGCTTTGTTTGTCCATTTTGGCCTTGTGAAAGCGCTTTATAAATAAAGTTGATTTGATTTGATTTACTGTGAGGGAGCCATTGTGTTGATTAGATGCAGGAGGGCATGACCTTGACTAAAATGTTTGGGAATTAGATTCAGATTCAAAAGAAGGTTAAAAAAAGAAGAAGAGAGGAACACTTTCAAATTAAAAAGTTTGAACACTATGTATTGTTACTAAAAATATGTTCTCAGTTATTTACTGATGACCGCAAAAGTGGGCGGAGCTAATTTTGCTTTGCATGTTTATAGGGAGCCTATGTGTCCTCCCTTTATGGTCGGCTCATGGGTTCCTCGAAGATCGAAACACAATCAATGCAAGTGAACGGGGCTAAAAGAGCTCTTTTCTAATCCGCTTTGCCTTACACCCTACACATATGTTGTACTTCAATTCAAATGAAAAGTAATGATGTGTGTTTCAACCACGCTTTGAGATTCATCAGCTTGTAAAAGTTCGTAGCTAGCATGACTACAAATCAGACGTCGGCACCTCGCATATATGACGTCACGTCTACCCTAGCGTAGCTGCTACTCACCACATAGCCAGATTTATGGTGGTTCTTTCCTGCTGAAGGAAGGATTTGAAGTTCACTAAAATTACAGCCATTTTTCCTCTGCTCTTCTTCATGCCTGGTTCAATTTGATGATTTGTCGTGCTGGGCGTATTTTCACACAAAACCTAAAATAGCGTTTGCCTGTTGTTCCAAAACAAGTGCTTTCTTGGCATCAAAATGTGTCTCTACAATTCACGGACATCAGATATGAAATCCATGGCACGTAGCAAACGGGAGTAGAGAATAGCCCCATTGCCTTGCGTTCGTTTATTTATTTTTTGTTCTTCCGGAAACCCGTGGTCCGGAAGTAGATGGACGTGACTTAGGCTCCCTTTATTATCTGGGAAAGTGAAATTACGTTGTTGTGTAAGATCTTTCAAGGCAGAAAAAAGGAAGTTTGAAAATAATAACGGAACAAACTTTAGCTACAGTGAATTCATAGTTAAATCTGTGACTCTCCAGGTGGGAGCCTTTCACAGAGTTTCCCCAGGAGAGGAGCTCTGTCAACCTGGTGAGCAGCAGCGGATTCCTGTACGCTGTGGGTGGCTTTGCGATGGTTCAGATGGAGAACCAAGAGGTGGCTCCCACAGAGGTCACTGACGTCTGGCAGTAAGTCTAAACTTTAATGCTTTGTAGGCTTTGTATTGTTGTGTTTGTTTGTAGCTTTGACTCTTTTGTTCTTGCTAGGTATGAAGATGACAAGAAGCAGTGGAGTGGCATGCTGAGGGAGATGCGCTACGCGGCGGGATCCACCTGTGTGTCGATGCGCCTGAACTCTGCCAGGATGCCCAAACTTTAGACCCCATCTATGAACGCCTGCTGAGCTGATCATTGACACTAATCTTTCTTCTGAACTCAGATGATTTTTATCTCTACAATAAAAGTTTGCTTCTGATTTTGCTTGAAAGACTCCAAATCCCCACGGTAGTTTAGAAAACAGTACCACACTTTAGATTGAACTCTAAAGCTGTGTTTACGTCGTTTCTATTTCTTTTATTTTGTAAAAAATAAACATTTGTTCATTCCTTGTCCTCTGCTTTTTCACGCAAATCCCTGAAAAATGAGAGTGTCGTGAGAGAGAGAAGGGTATTTTCCGGTAAAGGAGGAAGTGAAACCAGTGGCCTTGCCTGGGGGAAATCCCTGATTAAAGATAGAAAATACAATCGTGTCAACATGACTGTTGAAAGGTACATTCATACATCTAAACCCTGAATTTAAAGTGATTGTAATTGCTTCAGGATATTGGAAATGAGGTGAATATCTGCAGAATTTACAGAAATTCACACTTTTGCTGCAGTTGTGTTTGAGGTAGGAAACGACAGTGAAGGATAATAGATGTCCTGAAGAAAAACACGAGTGCACGTTGTTAAAAGTTTGCCTTTGAAGCAGAAGCTGATCTTTAACATTTTCAGTTCTCATCTAGTGAAAGAGAAGTAAATGGAACATGAGATAGAAACACTAAAAGCAGTCAAGGTTTGACCTGAATTAGACAGAAGTTAGCCTAAAAAGCCGAGTTACCAGAGGTTTGTTAGCAGTGAGCTAAGCTAATCACTGAGCTAACTATTTCTACCATCTAATATTCAAAAATTATTTCATTTAAGGTTAAACTTAGATTTTTAAACATTGTTATTTATTCAGTAAGAAAACAATGTCCATGCTGCTGGATGTTTCAGGTATTTACATAGTATGAGTATTTAGCAGCTAACTGTAACATGTTGCTTTTTATTTAAAGATTTTTTTGTAACTTTACATAATTGTTCACAAATTTATATGAAAAGGAGCAAAGGGTGTTGTATAGTGTTCAGACATCCTTCATTTTTGATAAATCATGCCCTATTTGACTGGATATAACGATGGTCTGGGCACTGATGTTTCATCTGAGTCGAAGAACCGCTATGTAGCTCTCATCTGCAACAAGGAGTTAACTGCTTTTGTATTTGGTGGCAATGCGTATTCTTTTGAAGCAAACCTTTTATCCCGCAAATACAAAGAAAGACCGGAACTCCCCCTTCTCTTCTGTTCATGTGGAAGCAGTGGCAGCAAGGGTGCCCCCAAGGGGTGGCCAGGGGTGGCCATGGCCACCCCTAGAAAATGGCTGGCTCCCCCAGGAAAAGCCAGTGTTAACAAATCATATTAATGTTCAGTCAAACCATATATTGATCTTGTTTATTCAAGACATAATTGTAAAACAAAATCAAAATATTACAATTAGTGAGTGAAAAAACAATCAGAATAAATAAAAACATATGTTTCTGCTGCTCACCATTTTAAAAAAGTTTTTATCTCCATAGTATTTTTTAGCACAGCAACAGGTGAATTCACCTAAAAAAATGCATTTTTTAATTAAATTAGGGATAGCATTTTAAGTAACTGAAATGTACATTTCTGAAATGTTTTTGTTTGTAAAATTTAAGTTAAATGTTTTGGATACGTACTGTTATTTTAATCAAAACGAATAAAGGCGCAATGCAGTACATCGCCACAGGCTAAATTCTCCCAGCGTTACCAAAAGGACCAATTTGGTGTGCCACCCCAAAAATTTCTTTGGCCCCATCTGGCCACCCCTATCAAAATTTTTTGGAGGTGCCCCTGAGTGGCGGATCTAGGATTTGGCTGTGTACGAGGCCATCGAGGGGGCACAATATTTATAGAGGGGGGTGTTAGTTCAACATCATCACATAAGATGTCACCCTGGAAATTATTATTTAGCTCATTAGCAGCATTAGTATTTGGACTTTAAATTACATCCACCTAGAATTTAAATGACAGATGAGTGACAGGACAAGGGCACTTCAGGGGGGCAATGCCCCTGTAGCCCCACCCCTGGAACTGCACGTTTGGAAGATTAGCTGAAAATGAAGCTAATGCTAACCCACTTCGTCTTAGCTTTATGTTTCTGTAATAAACTTAAATGTGGGCCTGCATCAGCCTCAGCTCACCCTAAACCCATCTGCCTTCTGCTAGCAGGGAAAGCTACTGGAGCTAGCAGTAGCAACCATATACTTCATGGACTAAGTCCAAAATGTACTGGTTCTTTTTCTTGATCTGGATCAGAGTCTTTCAGAATGACTCCATGCTTTCGTTCTTTTTTAAACACAGAAACAGTTTTGTTTACCTGGTTTGTTTACAGGTAAACAAAACTGTTTCTGTGTTTAAAAAAGAACGAAAGCATGGAATTAGAACCACGACACAGTAAGAACACACCTAAGATGTTTTCAGAATGACTGCTGCAATTTTTTTTTTACTTAGCAAAAATTATTTTTTGTTTACATGTCAATCCGGCCAGGACACACCTGACTTATCTACATACATTTATTGGCTTTAGACCTTCAACGATCTGCTGGACGATGACCTTCAGATCTGCACTCTCAGAGACTCAGTGGTCTCCTTTAAAAAGCAGCTGAAAACTCACCTGTTCAAGTTGGGGTTTGCGTGACCTTCATCACCACCCTCTCCTTATCCTGTCCTTATTCCGCCTTTCCCGGGATCCACTAATTTCCCTCATTCCTATTCATTTTAACTCTCCCTTCCCTTACATTTTTTTTCTTTTCTCCTTTGAAATGTATTTTTAATTATTTTTGAAATCTTTATACATTTTAGTTGATTTGGGTCTTGTTTCATATCACACAGTGACATTTGAATAATTAAATGCATATGTTTAGAAATTAAAAAGCTTTATTTTACAGTAATAAAAACCACATCTAATGTTTGTCTGCCTCATTATTTTTCATTTTAAAAAATTTCTTTGAGGGCACATTTTCCCGTTCGATTAAAATGCGATTAATTAAGATGAATTAATTACAAAGACTCTAATTATTTAGATAATTTTTTTTAATTGAGTCCCACCCCTACTTTTTATACTTACATTTTTGTTTGTTTGTTTTTGTGAAGCGCCTTTTGATTTTTATCTTGAGAGGCGCTATATAAAACATCTTGTTCTTCTAAGAAATAAAATGTTGAATTAACTTAACCAAGTTGTGTCAGCTGGTTCCACTAAACCTGGTTGCTTAAATGTAAAGAGCAATGCACAATGTTGTAATGTTAAAAGTACATATTACTCTTTAGCTTAGTGGAACCAGCTGACACAACTTGGTTGAGTAAATTTGGCATTTTATTTCTTATAGTGCATGCTGTAGATAGTTTATTGGCCTGACATTTCCTCTAATGCTTGTCTGGGTTTTCCAAAACTCTGAAGTTTGAGACAAGCCTGATAAATATTTAACAGATATCACATTGTTTGATCAGAAACACAAATAATTAGCCTGTTAATATGTTTTCTTCAGTAAATGTGTTTAAGTCAACCAAAGATTGAGGTTAATGGCCATTTTATATGGAACACTGGCTCATTTCTTTGATCTATCTAATGTTTGAATCATTTATAGATATGATATTAGATGGTTTGTTGACTTTTTATTTTGCCTTTCCACTTATCCGTCCTCTCCCAACCCCAGGGTGTTCCCAAGCCAGGTGTTCCAAAGGTGTCCTGGGTCTCCTCCCTGAAGAAAATTCCACCCTGAACAACTGTCCGAACCACCTTTGTCCTGGTTTCCAGCAGGATTTCTGAGGATTTTCAGAACATATAAAAATCACGGATATACAAGCTTTGGGTCCCACATTCCACTCACGAACATTCCCATGTCAGATGGAAAATCCCACCGAACCTCCCGAGATCAGATGTGACTTTGGAGTAAATGAACATGGCTGGCGGATACGAGGATCTGGGGTGGCCAGAGAGGGTTTGGTGGCTCAGACAGTAGCCCAGGGCCCAATCCTTATCTTCCCTGGTAGGGAAAAAAAAACAACATGAGGGCAAATTGTGAGCACAGTGATGTAATATTACTGTAAGCTGAGATTCCCACATTCTTCCAAACTTCCTGGTAATCATTGATGATGAATCAAGTTCTGCCTGTGCCGAGTGTAGCTCCTGCTATAAAAGTAGGACGTCTGGGTTTTCCTACCAAAGTAAAAACTTGTTTGATTAGGTGAGATAAACTCAATATTGTGCAGACACCCCCACTCTCCACTCCTCTTTTCCTCCCTGAAACCTGAGCTGAAAATGAACTGGCCCTTCAGCTTTATCAGTTCAGCTGTGACACAGGCAGGTAGGTGCACCGTGCTAAAGGGGATTCACACCGGAGTGCAGATGCAATCCTTAGGTGTGGGAGACTGGAAGTGGAGCAGGGAAGGGAGGGGATGGGATGCAGAGAAACCGCTGCAGAAACACAAGACTGCTGCTGAAGTACAGTTTTCCAACAGCAGGTTTCCACCTGGGGACATCAGACAGGTAAAGGACACCTGGTCGATGTGTCCTCACATGTAGAATAAGAGACAGTGTTACAGCTGTCACGTCCCCAGAGGCTTTCAGAAACCTGGCTGATGACGAGAAAACAAAAGATTGTTTGCTTCTCTCCCACTGAGGTGGTTTGATTGCTTCTGTCTCGCCTCAGCCGGCTCACCTCTGCTTCTCCCTCCGCTCGCAGTAATTGCTGTTGACAGCGTAATAACAGATAACGGCAAACAGAAGCATTTTTCACTTGTCTTCTTTTATTATTTATGTATTTGAAACAAGCTGGAGCTGAGGAGCTGACGACCAGTCCGAGCACTGGTGAGTACGTTCATGGTATTTACTAGAGGTGCTGAAAAAAATCGATTCAAGTCTGAATCGGGATTCTTATTTATAAAGATTCAGAATCGATTCACAAAGGTTCAGAATCGATTCCAAGAACTAAAATATTTGGCATGTTACGGGTCTGAGCTGCACTTTTTTGGTCTTTGTTAGGAGAGTCAGTACTCCGTTTACTTTTGTGGTCCCATAAATTGAGATGATTTATGTTTGAGTCTGCTGATAAGACGGCACTTGAATGTAATTTTTTCCATACTCAGAAATTTGAGATATTCTCATAGTTATTTTCTAAGTTGATAAACGAGTACTCAGGATTACTCATGTAACTTGTTTCTACACATACTTGAAAAGTATTTGACTGTATTACTTTCAAAGCTACTGTTGGATAACTACAGATTTGTTATATTTTACAAGGTAAGCAAAAATAAATGTTGCCTTTTGGTCAAAAGATTGCTTCTGTTTACAGTTTTAGAATCACTTTATTTTACATTGTAAATTTGCATTTTTGGAGCATGACCAGTTTAAAGTCAAATAAAAATGTCCCATAGCTTTAACTAACTTGTACAACAAAGTAGTTCCTCCTGGAGCTGACACTCTTTGTTAATACTGATTGTGAATCGATTTAAATTGAGAATCGAGAATCGATTCTGAATCGAATCGGCACCCCGAGAATCGGAATCGAATCAAATCGTGAGTTGGTCTAAGACTCACATCCCTAGTATTTACACATCTTAGCATGTAGTTTATCAATAATGACACAATGAACGTGGGAGTGAACGGGTGTGCAAAAAGAATAAAGCCATTTATGTTGGAATTTCCTCACACTCTGAGAGTTTTGGTTAATTTCTTGTCTAATTTTTAATGTCTGCTAAATTTAACACTAACAATCCACTTTCTGGGACATTTCTGAGTTTTAAAACTTTGAATGGTTACTTTAAATTCAGTGATTTGTGAGAAAATCGTGAAAATTTGGTATCTTGTGACAGACAGCTCTGAGTGACCTCAATTTGTGGAATTAGAGATTTCCAGGAAAGCCGAGCATGGACGTAATTTGGGGGGGGGGGGGGGGGGACACTCCCCCCCCCCACTTTTTCCAAAGTCAAGTTTTGACCCCTGCACTTTTTACCATCCAAAACCAATATTATGCTATATTAAATTGACACTGGTTGAGCTCTAGGACCAAGTGGAAAACAACCGTTTGTGTTGAAGCCTGTTTCCCATTAGAGCATACCTTAAAGCCCCCCCCCCCACACACTTCTAAAGTGAAAATTACGTCCATGCGGCCGAGCTAAAGGTTAGCATAAAAGCTGCCAGGCTAAAGTCCTTTCTGCGCTGATGTTCGTGCCTTCTAGTGGCATGGTGTACATATTTCTGCATTTAAAAAGTCATGTGGGGGTATTTTCTTAAATATTTGATGAAAAGAAGCCCAGCTTTACCCTGAGTCGTGTAAACGAGCCTGAAATGAATTGATTCCATTATCAAACTAATGGCAAACAGTGATAATATTAATAGAGTTTTATTAATTGCCCCTCCCTGGGCTGCCACCTTACCGTGGTGATGGGGTTTGAGTGTCCCAATGATCCTAGGAGCTACGTTGTCTGAGGCTTTATGCCTCTAGTAGGGTCACCCATGGCAAACAGGTCCTAGGTGAGGGATCAGAAAAAGTGCAGCCCAAAGACCCCTCGTGATGATGAACAGAAAGGGTAGCTTCCCTCTGCCTACGTGTGACGGGTCCTGACTGTTGTCTGTGCTTATGCACCCAACTGCAGCTCAGACTACCCGTCCTTTTTAGAGTACCTAGAGGGAGCGCAGGAGAATGCTCCTGAATGACAGTGAGACCTGGACAGGTGTGGTTAGGAGGAATGGCCCCCCTGTGTCACGATGTGAGCTAGGAGGAGGTTTGGACCCAAAATGCAGAGAACCCAGTCAACACGAGGCAGGAGCGAGTTATAAAGTTAAATACCTTTATTTTGATGGGAACAAAAATAATCCAAAGGGGCAGGAAGGCAAAAACCAATGTCCTGAGATCCTGGAGACCAAAAACACAAAATCCAAAAAGGTAGGAAGCCAAAAGCATAATCCTTGAGACCTAGAGACTAAGAGCTCCTTTAAAGAGTAGACCTGGAGATATCAAAACCCAGAGACACGAGAGGGAACGAGACAATGCTGACAACAAACAATGGACCGACAAAATATTGAGACACAGACAGGGTTTTATACACTGGGGAGGATGAGAGGGAGATGAACTGCAGGTGTGTGGAGAGAGAGAAACCAGGTGAACTCAATTACTAATCAGGGAGGAAACTAACACGACCTAAGAATAAAACCTAAAGACAAGAAGAGCAGGAAACATAACTAATAATCTAAGGGGGGAGGAAAACCACAAACACCGGTGGGAAAAACACACTAGAGAGACTAAAAACATGAACAGCTGTAACTAAAGGAACATGACCTAAGAGCAAAACCTAAGGACCAGAAGGGCAGCAAACATAACTAATATTCTAAGGGGGGGGGGGGGGGGGGGGTGCTGAAACTAAAGGAAAAACACTACAGGAATAAAAACTACAGGGGCGTGACTAAAGGGGACCACTGGCACACAGGAACTGGAAGGGGGATACCTGAGGAGGGAAACCTAGAGGGCTGAAGATCTGGGGACAAATGGGGAACACCAGGAGACACATGAGGAAGACGCAGACAAGGACACATGAGGGCGCTAGAAGACACAAAAGGAGAACCTAGAGAGGGATGGAGAACACAAGGAGACATATGAGGGGAGACGCAGACACAGACCATGACACCCTGATCTGTGTACGATCGATATTTTGTCATTGGACGTCAGAGAAGAGCTGATAGGTAACGGCAGTCCAAGCAGAATGCAGGCCGGTTGGCCAAAACCCGGGCGTGGGAGAAGTTTAACACTTTTATGAACAGGATTTCTAGGCACAGCCAAGGTGGTGAGGGGATCTGTTTTGGTGGCCTGAAGATCAGGTATCTGCTTTTTGCAGACGATGTGGTCCTGTTGGCTTCATCAGACAGTGACGGTTTACAGCTGAGTGTGAAGTGGCTGGGATGAGAATCAGCTCCTCTAAATCTGAGACCACAGTCTTGAGTCGGAATAGAATGCCTTCTCCGGGTCAGGGATGAGGTCCTGCCCCAAGTGGAGGAGTTTAAGTATCTTGGGGTCTTGTTCACAAGTGAGGGAAAGCTCTAGAGCGTGAGATCAACAGGTGGACTGGTGCTGCATCTGCAGTGATGCGGGCGTTGTACCGGTCTGTCGTGGTGGAGAGAGAGTTGAGCCAAACGGCAAAGCTCTCGATTTACCGATCAATCTACGTTCCTACCCTCACCTATGGTCATGAGCTTTGGGTAGTGACCAGAAGAACAAGATCACGGATACAAGCGGCCAAAATGAGTTTTACTCTGCAGAGCAGCTGGGCTCTCCCTTAGAGATAGGGTGAGAAGGTCGTTCATCTGGGAGGGGCTCAGAGTAGATCCGCTGCTCCTCCACATTGAGAGGAGCCAGTTGAGGTGGCTCAGGTAACTGGTTAGGATGCCTCCTGCATGCTTTCCTGGTGAGGTTTTCCGGGCACATCCAACCAGGAGGAGACCCAAGGAAAGTTCCAGGACAAGCTGGAAGGACTATGTTTCTGGGGTTCCCCCGGAGGAGCTGGCCTGGATGGCTGGGGAGAGGGAAGTCTGAGCCTCTGCTAAGACTGCAGATCTGACTCCGGATAAGCAGCTGAAAATGGACGGATGGATAAAAGCACATTTCAAATCGTTAACCCCTGTTTATTAGAGATGGTTATTCCAGCAGAGATAATATTTCAGAAGGAAGTGCCCCATATTTTACAGGAAGTGCTGCAGCTAGCTGATGCTATCACTATTTCCCTTGGAAATAACTCTAGGTTTGTATATAAATGAATTGAGTAATGTGAAATTGACCACAATATAAAGGCTTATTGGATTAAGTCATTCTCATGAACCACTATAAAACCTTTGAGATTAGAATTGGGATTGTAACAATTGACTTTGGTTGTAATCATGTTTAAACTAGCCACTAGCTTAAAGATCTAAAAAGAACTAACCCCTATTTCTCCTACATGAGGTCATTAATTATTCAGTTCAACTGGTAAGGTGGTTAATGGCATTGTCACATTCAAAAATTAGCATTTTGTCATGTGATGAAACTAGTTTATCGTTTTTATTTGGTATAAAAAGTACTAAAGATGTCTTTCAAGATTAACTACATTTGATTTTTGAATGTGAAACACAGAATTTGACAAGCGTTTACCAACATAATACCATTTTACTGTATAGTACACATAAATCTGTATTATTAAACTGTTGTCTGGTTTCTACAGGTTTGGCCACTGCCAGCATGAACTCCAACTGCACTGATTTGGACTCCCTGCTGAAACTTTACTATCTCCCAGCTTCTTACGGAATCATCTTCGTTTTTGGCCTGGTGGGAAACATCATCTCCATCAGCATTTACCTGACAAAGCTGCGCCCTTGGAAAAGTAGCAGCATCATCATGGTCAATCTGGCGCTGACCGACCTTCTCTACGTCCTCACCATGCCCTTCCTAGTCCACTACTATGGAAACGAGGATTTTTGGATGCTTGGTGACTTCACGTGTCGCTTTGTGCGGTTTGCGTTTCATTTCCACCTTTATGGTAGCATCCTCTTCCTGTCCTGCGTGGCCGTGTTTCGCTACATGGTGGTGATCCAGCCTCTGAGGGTGGTCCAGTTGCAGCAGAAGTGTTGGGGCATTGCAGCATGCTCGGCTGTGTGGATCATTGCTGCTGCTGAAATCTCTCCCATGCTGACAATTATATCCATCAACACTGAGAACAACAAGACCAAGTGTTTGGACTTTGCTAGTACCCTACCGATCAATGTTGTGCGAGAGTATGACTGGGTTCTCACTATACTTGGCTTTTTCCTCCCCTTAGTGTTGGTGTTCACGTGTTACATTGGTGTTGTGAAACAGCTGTCCAACGGCCCCGGACCTTCCAGCTCTGGCCGTAAGCGAGCGCGACGTGTTACCGTGCTCGTCTTGGTGGTTTTTGCCATCTGCTTTCTGCCATACCACATCCTACGTGTGCTGTGGATAGAAATTCAAAGCACAACAATGTCATGCATGAAAAATATTGTGCATGCAGCGTATATCATCTCCAGGCCTGTAGCTGGATTCAACACCTTCTTTAACCTGGCGTTGTACACACTCTCAGGTGATAAGTTCAGAAGGGCCTTCCTGGGCTGTTTTCATTCTGAATGTTGGTCACGTCGCTGCAAACTCTAACTGTCATGAAAACACGTCAGATAAGCTCTATTGTGTGTTTTTCTTTCCAGCTACACCCATAGTCCAGTATGTTATGCCAAAATTCAGAGGCTGCATCCTTTGAAGAACCTGGCCTATCTCACTGATGTAGGTTTGAATCCGGCATCCACCCAGAAGTAAGCGGCTTGACGATCTAGCCCTCAAATTAATTCCCGCCCCTTACTGCCGAATGAGCTCATTTACACTTTATTTTAAAGGATTTTACTTCTGCAGCACAGAAACCTTGTATAAAAGGCTTTTACTCTTTAGCTCTTCAACAGTTAATTGTTAATTTATTTTCTCAGTTTCATTCATCATTCATGCAAAATACAATCAAAAACAGTCTCCTAAGTGAAAAAAGGGGGAGGAAGAAGAAGTCTTGTATGACCTACCCCTTTCTACTTCATACAGTATCATTTACAGAATGGCCTTATACACAAACCAAGTATAGAACTTCCTTATCTTTGTAAACAAAATCACAATAAAACTTATCAATATATATACTTATTAAATATTTACTTATCAAATATGATTCCATGATATTTTCTTTATATCGTCTCTTAAATTGATCAGTAGTTAAACATTTTTTCAGGTCATGATCCAGATGATTCCATAATTTTACTCCATATACTGAAAGACACGTTTGCTTTAATGTTGTTTGTGCAAAAACTCTTTTCAACTCAGGCTTCTTTCTATTTTTTCCATCATTTGAAATCAAAACAAAAAACGTCTGTAACTTCACTGGCAGTAACCTCTTTTTTGTCCTGAACATAATTAGTAAAGTTTTCAAATTAACCAAATCCCCGAATTTCATAATTTTTGATTCAATAAAAAGCCTATTGGTATGTTCTCTAGCATCTACTTTATATACAATTCTCATAGCTTTCTTCTGTAATAAAAACAAAGGATTAGTGTTTGTTTTATATGTGTAGCCCCAAACCTATATGCAGTAAGTCAAGTATGGAACAATAAATGAATAATATAATATATGATGTATTGATGACTCCAAAATACTTTTTACTTTATTTAAAAGTCCAATACTTTTACACAGTTTTTGTTTTCTATATTTTATATGGGGTTTCCAATTAAGTTTATGATCCAAGATGACCCCTAAAGATCATACTTCATTTACTCTTTCAACTGAAGTTCCATCTATGGGCAATGTAACAGAATCATCTGTCTTCCTGTTACCAAAAATCATGAATTACGTTTTATTCCAATTTATAAATAGTTTATTGTCCATAAACCACTTCTTCAGTTTAGTTATCTCATAATCCACATTTTCCAAAATAATTTGTAAGTTTATCCCAGAACAAAATACATTTGTATCATCAGCAAACAAAATGAACTGTAATATTTTGGACACATCACAAACATCATTAATATACAAATTAAAGAGCTTAGGTCCCAACACAGAACCCTGTGGGACTCCATATGTAATAATTTGAGAATCTGAAATTTCATCTTCTAACTGTACATAACAGTCATAACCCAATATCCCAGTTTGAGAACAGACATAACAGGGGCTGCATGGTGGCGCAGTTGTTAGCGCTGTTGCCTCGCAGCATTAAGGTCGCAGGTTCGAAACTCGGCTGTGGCCTTTCTGCGTGGAGTTGCGTGTTCTCCCCATGCATGCGTGGGTTTCCTCCGGGTACTCCGGTTTGCCCCACAGATCACAACATGCCCTATAGGTTATAAATTGTAAGTCACTTTGGATAAAAGCATCTGCTAAATAAATAAACATAAACATAGTGTGCTAAAATGCAGCTGTTCTGAACAGCTAGCATAGATGCTACGACTTTTCGTTTCATTACCTTTCTGTTACTTTCACATTCTAAAAAGTACATTTTAGCACAACTCGCTAACAACTTCAGTTACAGATTAAGTCATTTTTGGTCAATGTTGCTTGCATTTTATGAGCCTAGCATAAACGTCAAAGCACACAAAAGGCCAGAAGCTAGCCAATGTTAAAGAGTAGAATAAAGATGGTGGAAAAAACATTTTTCTTTGTTTAATCTATTTTTTGTACATTTTTTCTCAACTGTGCTGGTTTTGTATTTAATAAAGAACATTAATTAAAATTTTCCCAAATTGACTAAAATTTTTCATAAACCCATATCTTAATTGTGTTTTTAAAGCTGATTCAAAGGTAATTTCACTATGACTCACAAGAGAGTTAAAGTTGCTATCCAGAAGTTCCCTTTTCAGGAATTTATGTATGGTTTTTCAGAAATCCATAAAAGTGATTGTCCTATCATGATATAATTTAATATGAGTTCAGCGCCGGTCAGGATTAACCAATAGTGTTAGACTACCACTTACGTACAGACGTTAATCACAGGGCATGCTCAAACGTTTAAGAGTATACTTCGGCTGATGCAGAGTTGCGACCTTTCTCACGGAAAAGTCTTTAAAGGTCCACTTGGCAGTTGTGCTTCCTTTAGCACCCCCTAGTGTCCATTATTAATTTGCTGAGGTAGGGATGCACCAAAAATTTGACCACCGAAAATTTTCGTCCGAACATGACCCATCTTCAACATGACCCATCTTTTGCTATTAGCCGTGTTTTTAACCATCCTTTCTACACCCACCATGTCCTGAAACCGGTGAAATCAGCTTTGGTCGTGTGTGAAGCGTGTTTACTTTTCTGCAGCACACAGACTCTGTTGCTGTGTGAATATCTTCAGTAAGCCATTACCAGGCTAAGAACTTTGTCAACAATGAACAGACTTGTCAGCATTGTTCATTTCTCCTCTCTAATATATAATAATAATCGCCCTCTTCTCTCCTCAGCTGGGAGCCTCCAGACGTGGGAGGTTTTCAAACTGTAATAACTACAAAAATTTCAATAGAAACACCCAAAAGTGTTGCTCAGATGGAAGTTACACATCTCCACTAGCTTCTGGGTATTATATTTGCAGCTGTGGCTCAGAAGCTTGTCTCAATATTGCAACTTTGGCGCATAAAGGGGTAATTTTAAAATCTTTCTCAGCAGACCTTTCGGTTCTAAGCCTGTACAATTATAATGTATTATTTTTATTAATTTATTATTTTTTACTGTGCACAAGTGGGGTCAAGTGAAACACTTAATTTTGAGTTTTAATTTATTTTGTGCATTGTTGTTATGCCAGTGCTACATAAACATTTTCATGGTTTTGTAATTGATTTATTGCAATGCCTTGATTTTTGTGAGGTTAGTTCACATAGTAGCCATAAAAACTAGGGTTCTAATTTTTGACATCATTTCTTTCGGTTTTCGGTTTCGGGGCATCCCTAATCAGTGATCAAACCGATCACCTCGCTGTGCGTTGGCCTTTTAACACCTTAATCTAACAGCTGAAACATCTCCCAGCCTTCCATAGGAGTGAATGATCAATAAATTAATCAAATCAGCTGTGTTCATGATCTAAAACATGCAGGAAACATGGTGGAACCAGACTGCAGCGTCAGTTTCATTCTCAACAGAGTGGTCCGCAAGTCTAAAGCTGCAAGTGGAATATTCTGGCCAAAGGGGCCGCTGGAGGTCCGAGTGACGTATCACTAACTCTGTAAAGGAAGAAAGAAAACGATCTTTTATATAGTGCCTCTCAAGATAAAAATCACGAGGCGCTTCACAAAAACAAAACAAAAATTAAAGTATAAAAAAGATTAAAAAAAATATGATTAAAATATGTTTGAAATGAGAAAAAAAAACAAATTGTGATAAAAAGAATGGTCATTTTAGCATATACTGGCTCAAGAAAATGGTTTAAAAATATGAAAAAGTTGCATTGCTTGGCTTTAAAATATAACTATAGGGAGTCTAAGTCTCCTCCCTTTCCAGTCGGCTGATGGGTCACCGGAAGAACGAAAAAATTAATGCATAATCCATTATTTTCTAATCCGCTTTGCCTTACGCCCTGGACGCGCATATGTTGTACTTATATTTAAATGAAAAGTAATTTAATGTGTTTTGACCATGCCAGTCATGTATTTTGGGATTTATCAGCTTGTAAAAGTTTGTAATTAGCATGACTACAAATCAGAAATCGGTATGTCGCATATATGACATCACCACAGAATCTCCTCTCCCCTAGCGTAGTTGCTACTCACCATATAGCCAGGTTTATGGTGGTTCTTTCCTCCTGAAGGAAGAACTTGATGTTCGCTGAACTTATAGCCATTTTCCCTCTGTTTTTCTCCGTGTCTGGTTCGATAGTGCGCATTTGTAGTCCTGGACTTATTTTCACACAAAACCTAAAATAGCGTTTCCCCCTGTTCGAAAAGAAACGCGTTCTTGGTATTAAAATGTGTCTTTAAAATTCACGGACATCACATGAGAAATCTATGGCACATAACGTGGAATTAGGAAATAGCATTTTTCAGCCCATTGACTTGCATTCATTTTTTCGTTCTTCCGGGGACCCGTGGTCCGGAAGTAAACAAGGCTCCCTATATGAAAAACACAACACAATATGAGCATAATATTTGTAAAAAATAAAGTGTTTTAGCTCTGTTTTGTTGGCTAGAAGAGTACGTTCATGGAGGAGAGGCATTGATTTCGGCCTTGAATAAGAAAATGAAGGTAGGTCTGGATGTGATACTCTTGTCAGCTGCTAGATGGTACCTTGGTAAAGATGCAACAAGTTTCTTACACCTGGATTTGTGGATCCTCTGTCAGGTTGGATGGTGAACGGTGGTGGACGGCCATTTTTAGGTCTCTCCAGAGATGCTCAACTGGTTTAAGTCAAAGGTCTGGCTGGGCCTTTCAAGAACAGCTGAAAAACACCCCCACAGCATGATGCTGCCACTGCCATGCTTCACTGTGGGGACTGTATCAGACAAGTAATGAGCAGTGCCTGGTTTCCTCCACACATACTGCTAAAGTTTGGTTTATGCTTGACGCATCCGCGAGGTTCGCACGGCTCCGCGCAGCAAAATTGCGTCATTTTAACAACCACGTCTCTCCACCGCGCCTCCGCACGGCCTAAACTGTTCGCACCGCACACCTAGGAAATTTTCTAACCACGCAGACGGTCAGACGCGGAAAAACATGGCGGACTGGCAAGAACTAGTATGGCAGAGGTTCGTAAATACAGATATTTGTATGATTCAGCTCTCAAAGATCACCGTGATCAACATGTTGTTAATAATTCTTGGAGAGAAATAGCTCGCACTGTCGGAAAAGATGAGGACGCTGTTAAAAAATGCTAGAATGCCATGTTGTAAACAACAGTAATTTTTACTTCTACTATGGTGTAGTGCTGGATGCATGCTGTAGAGCTCCATGCTGCCCCCTACAGTTTGGGAGAAAATTGGCTCACCGCAGAGACAAGCCGCATGAACCATAAACGCTGCGAGTTGCGAAGCGCGTTCCGTCCGCGAGCCACATCACCAAGCGGAAAGTAAATGCATCAAGCATACACCAAGCTTTAGAATCAAGGCAAAAAGTTCTATCTTGGTCTGATCAGAGAAGATAATCTTATTTTTCACCATCTCAGGGTCCTTCAGGTGTCTTTTAGCTAACTCCATGCAGGCTTTCATGTGTCTTGCACTGAGGAGAGGATTCCGACGGGCCATTCTGCCATAAATCCCTGACTGGAGGAGGGCTGCAGTGATGGTTGACTTTCTACAACTTTCTCCCAGCTCCTGACTGCATCTATGGAGCACAGCCACAGTGATCTTTGGGTTCCTCTTTACCTCTCTCACCAAGGCTCTTCTACCCCGGGTAGGAAGCTTAAGAGCAGCAGAGACGTTTTTATAACCTTGGCCAGATCTGTGCCTTGCCACAATTCAGTCTCTGAGCTCTTCAGACTCTACCTTTGACCACATGAATCTCATTTGCTTTGACATGTAAAGTGAGCTGTAAGGTCTTACGTAGACAGGTGTGTGGCTTTCCTAATCGAGTGCAATCAGTGTAATCAAACACAGCTGGACTCCAGTGAAGGTGCAGGACCATCTCAAGGATGATCAGAAGAAATGGAAAGCACCTGAGTTAAATATATGAGTGTCACAGCAAAGGGTCTGAATACTTAGAACCATGTGATATTTCGGTTGGTCTTTTTGAATAAATCTGCATTTATAAATAAAAATATGTTTTTCTATCAGTATGGAGTGCTGTGTGTCCATTAATGAGGAAAAAAATAATAATTTAATTGATTTTAGCAAATGGCTGCAATATAGCAAATAGTGAAAAATTGACGCGGGTCTGAATACTTTCTGTACTCGCTACGTTGGTTGTGTGTTCAGTCTAATGTGAAAAGGATAGAGGAGCAAAGGCTACTTGGTACCTTGAATTAATGTGTGCTGACCTAATTAGAAATTTTGAAAAAGTTATGACGTCAGGAATTGAATTGAATCATGAGGTATATAAGATGGTACACCCCTACAACCTATAGATGTGAATATAGAGTCTGGTCAAGGCCATCGACATATAAATATTGGACAATGGGTTTCCATAGACTCCAATAAGACATTTTTGAAGATAAATGGGAGGTGGCCACCACCGCCATTTTGACCGTGTCACAGGTTCCGTCAAGCCCAGACAATTCCACAAAAGGGAAGAGAGGTGGAGCTGAGGGTGGGGCTGTAAGGCTGGGATCAACTGACGACACCCGGTTGAACTAGCTAACAGAGGTCTCCCGAGAGCTCCACAAGCCGATAGTCGGAACCCAGCTCCACCAACATGTTATATTTCAACCCATTTTCTAAAGTGCAGCATTATGTTAAATGCACTGGGTTTTACCCTATTACATTTAAATTTCATGGTTAAACAGTACATGTTAAAATCTAAGCTCAGCTCGGCAGTGACCTAAAATACATAAATATAATTTTACTTACCGAAAAAAATGAAGTGGAGACTCCTTGGCTGCTCTATTAGTGCAATTAATGCCACAGCAAGTCATTTTGTCCAACAATTGCACAAATAATATCCAAAAAAGAATACACAAACACAGAGACTCAAAATCCCGCAGCAGTTTCCAGGCGAGACCGAGGCTCTACTGAGGCCTTTCCACGGAGCTAACTGTGGTCACGTGGGTCGGATGCTCATTAATTATACAGAATTTTAGGCTTTTAATACACCTAAACAGAAGAGTGAGAAAAAAATTCACCCCCCTCAGAGTTGTCATGAGTGTAAACTAGATAATTTAAACCAAAACATGTTTTGGTACCAGGCTGTAAACATGTTTATTTCTGCTGTGAAATTGGTATTTTTAACATGGGAGTCAATGAGGATTTGCTCGGTTCTAACACCAGCCCCCAGTGGATGAGAGTGGAACTGCAAATTTTGGTACTTCCAGGTTGGCCTCAATTTTTGAGCCACATTGTGGGCCCAGAGAACTCAGTCATGGGGCAGAATCTACGGTTGTCTTTGAAACTGCGTCCTCGTGCTTTTGGACAGCGTTAGAACCAATCGGAGCAACAAACAATGTGATGTATTAGATACAGAAATCAGTCAACGGGGCAGTCAAACCCCCAAAGACGAAGTAGAAAAGGGCCTCTACCATCTGTCAAAGAAAGGCCCATCGTTGTTGCGTTGCTCCGAAAACAAAAGCCCTGCTGTAATGGTGCTAAGCCCACCAATCGTCTATTCAAATATAGAGCGCTGTGATTGGCCCAGCCCAAACTTGGGCGAGCCAATGGTAGACCTGCTGAGGCTTCGATGGAGCAAGGCTAGACCGACGTGCTACTCTTACAGTTTCTAGGCTAGTAGATCTCTCATTTATGACTAAAAATGTACCTTGAGTATAATCTTACCTTTATTTGTGCAGGAGGACCATGCACCTACATCTTAATAACTCTTGTGTCCACAGATAATCCAGTTAAGAAAAGTAATTTCATTTTGAGTGACAGTCTTCAATTTTTCCAGAACCAATTTAAATCAAAACTTTTTTCCTTTTTATTATTAGAATTAATTTATTCATTCATTAATTACATTTATTCCTAAACAAATGCTGGACTTTGAAGTTGAGTGTAACAAATAAAGTAACTTCTAATCAAACTCAAGTATTTAAGTTACTTTTACACAGAGTAATCATCAATCTTTAATTGGATTACTTCATCAAGGTAACTGTGGCAACACTGGTCAGCCTTTTATACCTTCCTTTTTTCCTGTTGTTATTTTTTCATTTATCTGGATTTAAAGAGTTTAAAGTGCAAGTCACCCCCAAATCACCTCTTTTTTCCTGATAAACAATACGAACGCGTGTCTAATCATGCTGCAGACACGTGTAGTCAACAGTTTTACACTTTAATTCATTTTAGTTAAATTTTTAATTTTCTGCCTAAAACTGTCAGTGTTGTGCCGTTGTCAGGTAAAAACTCTGCACTGCATTTGAATTTAATTCTGCCATTGCAATTGGCTAAGAGGCACCCTAGAACACGGGTGGGCAATCCTGGTCCTCGAGGGCCGCTATCCAGCAGGTTTTAGTTGTTTACCTGCCCCAACACACCTGATTCCTGGATGAATTTCCTGTTCTGCAGCTCATCAGGCTCTGCAGCAGCCTGTTAATCACTAGTAGATTCAAACCAGGTGTGTTTAAGCAGAAAAACAAGTCAAACCTGCTGGACAGCGGCCCTCGAGGACTGGGATTGCCCACTCGTGCCCTAGAACGTTAGCTGGTACCATATGATGTCACAATGTCGTTGTGAGCCTGTGGCTGTGTCTCAATTCAGGGTCTGCATCCTTCGTCGGCCGGTTACGTCACAGCGCCGCGACTAGGCCTGTCCCAATTCGAAGACTCCTTCAAATGCGGTCGACGAATCCGGCCTTCTTTTCGCCTGTATGAAGGACAGGTCCTTCGGGGCAGCAGTAGCTCAACAGGTTGAGCGGGTTGTCCAGTAATCGGAAGGTTGCAGGTTCGATCCCGGCTCCGGACAGAGAATTCTGCTGTTGTGTCCTTGGGCAAGACACTTAACCCACCTTGCCTGCTGGTGGTGGTCGGAGGGACTGGTGGCGCCTGTGCTCGGCAGCCTCGCCTCCATCAGTGCGCCCCAGGGCAGCTGTGGCTACGTCGTAGCTCATCACCATCAGTGTGTGAATGTGTGTGTGAATGGATGAATGATACACTGTAGTGCAAAGCGCTTTGGAGTCCTTACTCTGAGAGGCGCTATACAAGTGCGGGTCATTTATCATTCAACAGTTCACATTTCCCAAGATGCCTTGCGGGCCAGACGGCAGAACTTTTAAAAACAATGGCGGACCGTGAAGCGGGAGCTGTCGGAGAGGACTGCGCATATAAATGTCAGTATAAACTTGAAAACTGTTAGGTTTTTTGTGATACATGAACGTTATTTTAGTTTGAAATGTTACAGTAGAAGTGCTTGTATTGCGGTCTTGGCTCGTATGTTCGGCCGCTCGGTGTCGTACTTCTCCCGTTACGTTTCCCCCGATTTTAATAGAAGTTTGTATTTTAGGGACAAGAGAAAACCAGGGACTTTATTTAGCTTAGGGCGGAGATGGACCACATGATCACTGGAGCAATGTATTCGGCGGCTGTGGCATGGAGGTACAATAACATCTCATATTTTAAGTTTAGTTTTGTCTGCGAAAACATGAAAGGAATAACCCGTTGTCCTCTTTTCTCTTCCTGTTTCTTTTCTTACATGTTTGTTAAGACTATTCTGGAGAAAATGGGCATCCAGGGGAAGGTGACAGCGATGACCAGCTCCTGGAGCTGATCTGGGAGGACATGAGGCTGCAGAGGGAGGCAGAGCAGCAGAGGGCACAGGAGAGAAGGGAGAACTTTGACAGCTTTTTACTTTGCTAGAAAAAATGGTTAAGAAAGATTAAACATGTACATATAAAAGAAATATCTAAATAAAATCAGTTCTGTATTAAACTCTTGAATTTTATTTTTGTTTACAAATGTGAATTGTTTAGTAATATTATAGGGTAACCGCTGGGTCTTGAAAAGTCTTAAAAGGTGATGAATCGGTTTTGGTCAAATTAAGACCCTTAGAAAGTATTAAAGACTATTATCACACCTTTGCTCAGGCTCAGCTAGTTGAAAGTATTTTCTCTGAATTAGCTCTCCAACAGTCAAGGAAATGATTAAAAAGCTAAATAAAACTTCGAGCTCCGTCGTTTAAAGTTCCTTCTCCCTTCTGCTCAGCGGTTCCACGGTTGCTAGGCGACGGAACGTTCGCCGAGGGAGTGGCGGGAATTCATGAAGACTAGGCCTGTCCAAATTCACAGCCGTTAACATCCGGTCTACTCGGCCGACGGAGGACCCAGCCCATGTCGGCCGAGTAGACTGGGTCCTTCGAAGGATGCAGGCCCTGAATTCGGTCTGCTAGGCAACAGCATTTGTTGCATTTTTCAAACAGGAAGTGGGAGTTGAGTAAGAATCTGGTGACTTGCTCTTTAAACACTGCGTGGTCATGGTAACACCAAGCTGTAACGCTCTACTGTGGGTTCATTCAGTGTTAATAAAAAGACAAAAACTTTGCACTTTGCTTAACATTTAAGAAACTTTTTATTTGTTTGCATTTTTTGGGCAACACTCACAGCAGTTAAAATACTGCCTTAAATTTTTCCATTTGCTTCAACCTCCATTGCCGGCAGACCAAAAATACACAACTCTTAAAATGCAGTTTAGAGGTTCATCAAACCTATTTACCCGCTGTTCTCACTTTGGTAAACCCCCAATAATATTTACGGCCCCCCACTGAACTTTTTCTGGACACGCCCCTTCACAATGTTTTGCTTTTTGTTCAAAAGGGAAAAAAACTGAATTTTGGAGAAAAGCATTAACACGTTCTGAAACCAATGCATACAATTTTGTGCGAGAACAGACATCAGACGGCACAAACACTCGTTCTCGCTGCTGATTTCCTCAGCAGAAGGAGCTTTTATATTGTTTGTCTCCTTTTAGAGAAGCCTATCAGTTCCCAAGCAGGCGAGCTGGGTGAAACTCAGACTTCTCATTATGGATTTTTATAAAATGTTTCTTTTCTACACGCTGTGCGAGCAGAGTCGACAGCTGGGAATGGAAAAGCTATTACAGTCAATGAATATTTCCCTTTTTTCCTCCGACCTGATCTCCATCCATGCCTTTTTCTCCTCCAGAGCGAATCACGGAGCTGTCAGGGAGTGCGTATCACTGGCACCAGAACAAGGATATTAATATTAGGCAATCACCCCTCCACCTAAGTTTTAAAGGTGCTCTGTCTGTGGATATTTGTTAAACCTGATTGTTTTTCTACTGGAGCGAAAATGGAACATCCGTCGAGCTGCATGCTTCTCAAATTAGGGAGAGAAAAGCCTTCACCTTCTTTTATTTCCAGCTGCAGCCGAGTCACGGCCAATTGAAGTTTAAATGATCAATTTGAAAGCAAAGAGCCCGGTGATCAATGCCCTAATGGTACAAATACCAATGTTCTGTCGCCGTGATGAAAGAGTGCTTGAACTGCCTCTGACAGCTTGTTTCTCAGCCTCGCTGCTCTCCTCTGCTTCTCCACTAAGCAAAGAAGAGAAGAAGACACTCATCAGCATGCATCGGTGTACCCGACCACAAAGGAGTCGGCGCACCGCGTGAAGACTCCAGAAAATTTTCCAGCGAGAGAGCGCGGAGTGAGACAGAAACACGTGCGCGAGCGCGAGTCCATCAGGTACAAATTCACATCAGCCCGGACGCTGCAGGTTTTTATTGAACACGTTTCCTGTGAGGAATTGCTTTTGACTATTTCCTCAGTCGGGAAGAAGAAAACACACCGCCGCTAGCCAAGTTTGTGCTTTGATACTCTTATGAAGCCAAACACCACAGAGTCACGACAAGATTTCACTGATCAACATGGCGCTAGATTACAAATATGACACTGAAAACCTGCCGTTGTTTGGAGGGAAGGAGCTTCTGGAACACTCGCTCGTTTTGTTTTAGTGGTAATTGAACGTTTCCTGTGAGAACTCGCTAATGAATAAATAAACAGTTTTCACGACTGCAGCGCCGAAAATAGCCATAAGAAAACAGACATAAATACAAAATGTTCATGTTGCCATGACAAATACATCCATCATAAATATTAAGACACCGTTTGGTGGTCCAACAAAGCGCAATGACCCCGTGACCCCAGCGGGGGTGGGACAGGAAGTGGAGGGAGAGGAGTAAAGCATGACGAATCGACCAGAAGTCAGTTCTCCTCACCACCGCACCACCTGGCTACTGTAATCCTCGGTGGTGGCCACCCCTTGTAGCACCTCCTCCTTCTCGTCCTCTTCCTCTTCCGCTCCTCCTCCTCCTCCTCCCAGTCTTAACAGCTCCACCAGATAGTTCCTGTGCATCCGCTGCCTCTCCTGCCGCCTCCTCAGACGCTCCTCCTGGTGCTGCTTCTGGCGGTTGTACTGATAGCGCCGCAGAAACAGCTCCTTGGCATACTCGTACAGCTCCACGTCGAGGGCGTTGAGGCCCTCGATGCGCCACCGTACCTTCCCGCTGATGCCCACGCTGGCGGCACGCGTGCTGTTGATCTGGGTGAAAGCTCGGATGAAGCGCAGGCCGAACGTCCTCTCGAACAGGTACTGCGTCTTCCGCTGGAACTCCGTCAGACCGAAGAAAGCCATGTTGCGTAGGTTGGCCTTGGCGCTGGCAAGGAGCACGTGTCCGCGCTCCAGCTCGCTCATGGACGACATGTTGTAGCAGCCCACCAGGCTGAGGTCGGCCAGCATGCGCACCTGCCGGTTGTTGGCGAGGTTAGAAGGGCAGTTCATGAAGTCAGCAAGCGACACGCCCGTCCAGTCATCCCCGCTGTAGCAGGCGGGAAGCTCGTCCTGAGTGGGGGGGCGGCCGTCGCACATGTGGAGGGCGGTTTTCCATGTAGCTCCACGCTGCACGTGTTTCCACTCACTGAGGTAGCGCGACACCGGGTCACGTAGCATAGTGATGTAGTAGAAGCTCCTGCAGACACACAGAGAGGTTCACAACATTAGGTGATGTATGTATGTACCTAACTGACCTTTAACCTTTACTCTGCTAAGTAAGACTTTTTAATTGTTTCTCTGAGGAAGTTCTGCTGTGTGGTGGAGCTGCTAACGCTAACGGTTAGTTTCTACTAGTTGAGACGATCTCTGCCTTTTACTCAGTGCTAAACAAACTAAACCAAATCCTAGAGATTCACTGTCTAGTTTCTATCAGACGCTAACGAAGAATAGGTGTAGGCGACTATTTTCATGTCCAAACTGCATGGAAAACTCAAGAGTGACCGATTATCAGGGCTGGGGGTAAACGACTATTCTTAAAACGATTATTCTGACGATTATTTTATCGAATAGTCGACTATTTTAATGACTATTTAGACAATTAATCTAACGATCATTTTTCTATTGCAGTTAATAAAAACCAAAAAATATCTTGTAAATTCCTCAAAAAATTGATAAATTGTTACTGTAAGAGAATAAACACTACAGGCCTTCCATTTTGTATAACACTGCTTTTATTGTGTTGGTTGGTTATGTTCTGGTGACGTGTAGAACTTGGGAGAGCAGGCTGCTGCCTGAGAGGTGGTTGGAGACGGAGTGTCTCCATGCTGCTTTGTTTTGGTCACTTATGTGCGTGAGGCGAGTGGTCTTACGACTCTTCCTGGGGAGTTTGGCTCGTGTCAAAAAGGAAGGGACAATAACGGGATTTAAAAGTTAAAATGATGATCAGGTTTATTTACAACAACAACAAACATAAATCTTTCCATCCACAGGTTGTGAATAATAAAACTAATTCTGCCTGTGGGGAATTAAAACAAAGTACATATAACTAGGGATGTCCTACTGGGCAAAGATTACTGGGTTCTGGACCAAAATAAGGATCTCCAAAGGTCCAAACTCTAAACTGGGCAGTTAAACCAAACTCAAGGTGATATTTTAAACTAAACCGAAAACCCACAACACTCTAAATGTAATAAAAGGGAGATCTACGCCACAAAAAAGATGAACTCTAAACCAAAACGTAACAGCTTATCCAAACGCAAGAAGCTGTTAGTGAAAATGCTAACAGTAGCTTTACCAACGTTAAGTTCAAGTTACCAAGTTTAAATAAACCAAAAACACCCAGCAGCAAACAGACCAGCACGGAGGAGAGACTGCTAGCACCAAAACAGCTCTCCTAATGTCTGAAAGAAGCTCCTTTATGAAGGGAGAAACGCTCCCGGTGATTTTCTACATCTGTGGTAGAGACGAAGCAGCGCATCTCACCCCGGAAGTTGTTGTCCATTGCCGGGAGACGAAAGCGGGCAAAACAGGAAAGGAATCTAGTAGCGGACGGACATTGTTCCTTGTCTTTGGTATTTGGCGGAGATGTTAGTGAAGGCGGAGAAGAGGGCGAACTAGAGGAAAAACAGGCAGATTCCTCCTCTATTTACAAACTCCTGGGGATGCAACAAGTGGCCGTGGTGCGTCGACTACCGGATCTGACGTCGACGAATTTTTAGAATCGAGCCGTCAACGTCATCGAGGCTTCGCTACAGCCCTACCGATCATAATCAGAAATAATCACTTAAAAATTGTTTCTCGGTGAAGTTGACCTTTACAGAAGTTTCCACATTTCCCCGAAATCTAAGGATACAAACGCATTCTTGAAAATGGCCGAATGTCGCCACTGGTAGTCAACGGTTACCCTAAACTACAAGGCTATTTGGTGTATTTGGTGTCAGCTGCATTAGACCCAGATGTCATTTCCTTTGAAAACCTTTCACAATAAGAGCCCCATGTGTTATCCCTGTAAAAACCCAAGCTGAATGATAGGTAATTAGCCTGTTTTAGAATGGTTTTCCGATATGTGAGTAAATCAACAACAAATTCAACTTTTCAATAAATCAACAAAAAATAATAAATGTAGTTAGCAACACTGCTGGGACTACTATGTGTGCAATAACTTTGCCTTTACAAGGATTTTATGCACGTTTATAAAAATACCATGAATCATTTCTTTACTGTAGTTACAATAAAGGTAAATGCTTTACCACTAGTAACAATGAGACATTTATGTAAATCCTGTTCTTGTAGATCACTGACTTGTTTTACATTTGCATTCATATTTTTTACTTGAAGGTACTTTACGGACTTTTGAATTTTTATGCTCGCGATTGCCCCCTCAGGCCAAATGTGTAACAGCAGCTTCAATTGTAGGCTCGTGCACGAGGCGCGCATGCTGTACGTGCACACTCCTTCACAAAAATAACAGCTGAGACAGTCCCGCGTGTGTGTGTGTGTGGCCCGGAGGACAGGAGAAGGTGCAGCTAATTAATTAAATAATTTGGTTCTGTACCTTTCTCTTCAGCACAGCCGACAAAGGTTTAAGATGGGTCAGTCCTCCTGCATGCTCAGATCATTCCCTTCCCTTGCTTGAAACATTGTTCCAAAATGAAAGTTGAACCCACATCTTTTTTATCTGTGAATTCAATGCCGTTCGGCGAGTCTCAAATAAAAATTTGGGCATCTTACTAGGGCTGCAACAAACGATTATTTGGATAATCGATTAATCGGATGGGGTCTCGACACGATTAATCGATTAATCGGATTACATGGGGAAATTTTTAAAAACAGCTAGGGAAACGTTATTTCTCTCCCTTCACTTTATTTAACACAACATTATTAGAAAATAGTTCAATAGCAGAAAAACAACATGCCATCACCTAAATTGTCTTATAAGGTGTACAGACAGAGACCCTAAGCTACATCTATCTGTGACCTAAAATGCTTGGTCCAAGTTAAACAGCTTAAGGGCAATTCTCATCTGTTTTGTTTGATCTCATCTGTTGACATTTATTTTAAATGTAATTAAACATAGGCTGTGAATTAATCAAAATTGATCACTATTTCCAAAAATGACTGAAAAAATACCAAATAAAACAAAAGTAAATGAATGCCATCCTCATTGCGATGATGCCCTGGGCAACTGCCATAAAGTCACATCAAGAAATGCTGCTGATCATTCCAATGATCCCAAATAGACTCACATTAGGCCACATGAAAGCAACTGAACCCAAAAATATATTAACCAGTATATAACTGCACTCTCACACAACACGCCTGCAGCAACAGTTAGGACTCCTCCCTCCCTTTTAAAAGCGTTTTTGCTTCTGAGGACATTGTGGTTGTAAAACCACATGCTAGTAGTCTGGCCCCGGTGTGATCAACCAGTTTCTGCGGGAATGTGACGGCGGAACCAGGGCCAGATTAACACTTTGTTGTACCCTGGGCAACAATATTCAAGGGCTCCATCATCACGACCCAAGGATCACCATAATGTGGTCACATACAGAATATTTTATTGTAATATGCAGTAAATATACTCAATACTTGAATGCCTGACAACACGTAACCCGCCCAGAGTAACCTTTGTCCCACCTCGTGTGGACTGACCAATGAGGAGAGGGTCTTAACTTGAGGCCCTCTCTTCATTGGTCAGTCTGCATGAGACTGACTCTCAACTGACGTTCAGTCGTAGGCAGTGAAGCGTCTCTGTGCAGTGCAAAAGCCCGGGTGGACAGTTTGTTTAATATAGGGTGACCATATTTCCATTTCCAAACAAGAGGACAGGGGATCTGTGCCTATGACGTCACACTATGGCAACGCCACACAAACCATGTTGGGACCCATTTTTTGTAAGAACTAAATTAATATCAGATTCTGCCAATTAAAGGGCTCTAAAACAATTCATATGTAAATATTTTGCATATTTAATGCAAAATCTAATTTTTCTGCTTTAGTGCTGCAACAAGGTTTTATTAATAATAAATTATTATACCTTTTGTTTTACTACAGCATCGGTAAGCTTCCTGTGCACAGATTATCAAGGATGCTTGTTTCAGCTGTGAGATTAGACGATAGGATCAATGAAAAAATAAGTTGTCACACACTCCATGGAAACTTTCAGAGAATCCACAAATAGTGGCTTTCAAATGGTTTTGTTACTTTTTGCAAGTTTAAAAAAGAAGCAGATGAGACAGCATGTCTGATAATTTAGTTTTTCATCTGATAATATTAGAACATGTCAGTAATGTCTGAGGGGCTTTTATAAACACCATATAACTAACACTACTGGAGAGGGCATGAATTACACAGAGGCTTCTGGGGAGCCCAGTTATTGGGGGGGGGGCATTTTGCCTTGGCCCCCAAAATGTCTTGAAACGGCCCTGGGTGTGTGACTGAGTTTTGAAGGTGATCTGAATTGTATCAGACGTATAAATATGACATGTGTATAACTTATTGTTTTTTACTGGTAAAAACGTGTAGTGGAGGTAAATCTACCTACATTTTACTTTTCAACACTTTGTTTTGTTTTCTTGTTTTTATTTAACTATTTTCCTGTCCTGTCTGTCTCTCATCTTCCTGCATCTCCTCTTAATTCTCCAGAAAATCTGTTGCCTGGATTCTTAAGGTTGGTTTATGCTTGACGCGTCCGTGAGGTCCGCACGGCTCCGCGCGGAAAAGTTGCGTCATTTTAACAACCACGCCCCTCCACCGCGTCCCCGCACGGCCCAAGATTTCCGCAACGCGCACCTCGGAAAATTTCTAACCACGCGGACGGTCGGACGCGGAAAAACATGGCGGACCGGCACGGCAGAGGTTCGTAAATACAGACATTTGTATGATTCAGCTCTCAGAGATCACCGTGATCAACATGTTGTTAATAGTTCTTGGAGAGAAATAGCTCGCACTGTCGGAAAAGACGAGAACGCTGTTAAAAATGCTGAAATGCCGTGTTGTAAACAGTCATTTCTACTTCTACTATGGTGTAGTGTTGGGTGCATGCTGTAGAGCTCCATGCTGCCCCGTTCAGTTTGGGAGAATATTGACTCACCGCAGAGACGAGCCGCACAAACCATAACCACGCTGCGAGCTGTGAAGCGCGTTCCAGCCGCGAGCCGCATCACCGCGCGGAAAGTGAATGCGTCAAGCATAAAC